CAGGAACATCTCCTCCTCTTGCAATAAGGAAGGCCACACTTGTTCGACGTTGGCTAGCGCACGGGAAAAACAAAGGAACTGGAGATGCAAGAGCTTGGGAGCAGCCGCAACAAGCACAAGCACAGCGCTCTGTGAAAAATGCATGCTTCCCTCTCAACATGTGAGGCGCAGATGGCTCGAAAGGTTACAGCGGTTTCTGCCAAGGTTTTTACAAGGAAACGTTGTTGCTTGTTCTTGTTCAAAATGGATAGGGATGCCATCTGATGTGCCACCGCGAGGAGCTGAAGTTTACTTGGCTATTTACTCACGCAGTGTGGGCGACCAGGCGTGCCCGATGGCAGGAAGCACAGGGGGGTGCGTGCTATGCCAGCTCGACTCTGAAAGTGGTTCGTTTACCGCAATATAGAGATTCTATCTCGTAAGAGCTCACTAAGTTATAATCCACTTATCTGGCAGATGAGTTACTGCCGGTGCTCAGCCGGGCTCCCTGTTCCCCGCCAAGCAACCTGGGCAGCGTCTACGATAACACTATTCAAATCTGTGCTTTATTTTTGGCGCTGCCACATAGGGCGGATACACGCATACATTTTCCCGTGGCGATTTAGGAATTGCCTGGTGTGTGTGTGTCTTTTATCCAACTAAAAGGCAAGGAATAGTAGAGGCCCACACAGTCCAAGAAATAGCTCTCAGATGCATTAGATAACATGGTGCCTGCCTTGGGCAGGACGGCAAACGCACCAAATAATACTCACTCCTCAGGCGCCCTAACGTTTGATCAGAGGCACGAGACGTTCCCTAAATTTTTTTTTCGCAATTGAGAGACAGGCAGACGAAAACGCAAACAAAGTCAATGTGTACACCTCAAGCACTGCGTCAACGGGATAGCCTGTGTTAAGAAAGACCGACGCATGTGCATCGGCTTGAAGTCCCTGAAAAAACCAAAGTCAAAGCAAGGGCTTCCGAATCTCCCGAACTCTCATGTTGTCAGGTGCAGGAAGGGGAATAGCCCTCAAATTACGATTTAACAGCGCCAACCAGTTTTGGCGCATCCCAGTCTATCCCCGGAAGAGGCAAGCCAGTGCGTTGCCTACCTACTGCCATAAAGCAGTTTGCGCCTGTAGACGTTCTGTACTCGACAATGCAGTAGTCAAGCTACAGAGGCAAGTGCCCAATGAACGATGCTTCGCGCTCAAAAATCACGGATGGATGATAATGCCCATCGGCGGGGAGTACCTCCTTATGTTCATCCGAAACTTGCAGCAGCAGCTTCCCCAGACCTGGCGAAGTTTGCAGCAGCTACACGGGAAGGTGTTGTTCACGACATAAAAATTTCCTTGCTACGATATTGTATCCCTGAAGGACTAGTCAATCCATTTCGGCGAAGAAAAGGCCACTCAGTAATGGACACTATCGCTGCACAATCGCACAGACATTCGGAATTCCCTGGGTGATGCATCGTACAAGGACAGCCTCACCCCTCGATTTGTTCGCGTTGCTGCCCATGAAGTCTCTCTGCTCAAGACGTATGAACAAAGTATGTACAAGCCGAGTACTAGAGACACCACCAAGCAGCCTCCTTGGACGCACACAATTGTGCGGGCCTGTTGGCATTTGACGACAAAAGATGCGTGAGAGACTAAAGCGGCGTAGTCAGATATACGAACGGTATCGTCGACATGGTTTCTGACGCGCCTCCATCTTACTCCATCTGTCACGCAGTTTAATCCCAAAATATTCCTGCCCTGAATCATCCCCACTTTTTTTCTTCACCGCACTGTTCCTACTCCGTAGATACTCACGAGTTTGTAGCTCTTTTCAAGCTCAACCATTGCAATAGTTAAACAATACAGCATAATTGCCGAGCTGCTACAATATCAGAAAAATTGTGGGCTCTGCGACTTATACGTTTCAGCATCACTGGATACCGTCGTCTAGTGCGCAGTGGACAATTGTGCATTCCGGTTGCGCAAGGACACGTTTCTCGTCTTCTCCGTAAACAATAGCGTGCCTTGCTGCCTTGCCGACTGTGATACGAACAGAGCCATGAATCAGGTTAGTAGGGCGTCAAGCTGGCTTGCAGGAAGCCCCCCCAGAAGACACATATGCCCTCACGGATCCTCAATCTCTACAGTAATGCCGACGAAGGCCCACAAACCACGATTCGTGGGCTATCCACTCAGGACAAATCTGCGCGGGTGTTTTATTAGATTTTCACAATCAGTTTAACATCCTTTGAGGCAGTATTCACTGGGACCATCTGGAAACTGCATGCTTCTGCAAGAAAAGCCATTGCTGACCACGATTCGGAGGGTGTTTGCTGCTTTTTTGGCGAGACGGCTTAATGCTGACCACGCCATGATCCACCGTAGCCAGGGGGACAAACTGAATGCACGGACTGCATGCTGCCTTCAGTACTTGCATCTGTGCACTTGACAAAATGCATCAAAGTTGTTAAAGCCTACTGATCCTGCTGCATGCCGTTGTAGTATAAGAATGCATTCGCTGGCGACACGTCCTTTGGCATTTCTGTTCTACACTGCCAAACCGTTTTGTAGAGCAATGTTGGACTAATATTCTTAGCATCCAGCCCACTACGCCTGCATTTGCTTCCACGCGCAGGTTAGAGTAGGGTGGGAATGCATTAAGAATGTACAAGAATCCTAGCCAAGATGTTTTGAGCAACGAGAGGCTTCAGTTGCTTGTTCAGGGGACTTTGTTTTGGTGACTGAGTACGCCTTACGGGGCGGGCAAGAGGGAGCAGCTAATGCCCGTTCGCCGTGGACCAGAAAGAGCCTTGTGTTGTCTTGTGTAGGACAATGCATTTGTCCAAGTTGTGCTTTTCTTTTTAAAGGGGATATTTCGCCATACTAGCAATACAGTCCTTCTCAAATAAGAGAAATCCCCTAGGTCTTCAGAAACTCTCTTATTGAAAGGGCAGCAGTGCCATTGCGAGAAGGAACAACTGAGGGGCAATGCGACACGGGCCACTGGTGTGGCTACGTAACGAGTTCACACGGAGCAATCGTACTATCGTCAACTAGCAAGGCTCCCAAATCCCAAATGGGGTTCTGGGGATCGCCCGCATGACGCAATTCCTCAGCAGTATCTACCCGTCTTGCTTGGTTCAGCGCCAGCAACGACAAGCATGCACGTGCACAGTGCAGGGTAAAGCTTGGCCGTGTATAATGCCTCTGTCATGTGAATCTGCCGCAACGAAATTTTCTACCTGCGCGATATCCTGCGGTTACTGTTCTCCTGCTATGGTCTATGTTGCTCCATTGATCTATGGCGGGCGGGCGACCCTGCCTAGTGTTTGGTGTTGCTAGGCCCTAGGCGGATCTCTTCGCCTCCCGTGAGCCTTCATGCTGTGCATCGGCAGCCGACCATAATGCACTCATGAGTAAATTCCGATGCACGGAGTAAAAGGAGTCTGAACTCATGCGTACGCAGAAAACGCACACGCGGATGCCGCTTTCCCGTCTTCTATTGCATTATTTCCTATTCCGTTCCTTTCTGTGCGGGGTGTCCCCTCTGACGCGCACTCGCTCTTCCCTCGCTTGCCCAATTCCTTGTGTGCTAGCCACGCCAGTGAGTGCGTGCGGGGCCTGCGGGAGAGGGATACGGATTCACCATGCTCTGCCTGAATTTGGCACCTTTGTTTCAACAAGCACACAGGCTGTCTACTGAAGTAAATGAGTGGGCGATTACGGAGTATCTACAAGGTAGCTGCATGCATCAAAGAGGCTTGACATAGTTGCATCTCAACTCGCCTGGTAACGGGATTTGCAGGAAGGTGTTTTGCAGCTCTTGAAAGCCCGCTTCCTCTGCGTAGCTGCAATAGGTCACTGTGAGCAGGACACCTAGAAAATGGTGTGCAACTCAGCTGCTTCCTCCGGAACTACTATAAGAAGTATTTTGATTGCTTTGTGGTTGCAGAGTGTCTTCGACTAAAATAAAGGACCCTTGTTGCACGGTTGTGCCTGTCCATCGCTGCTGGATAGGGACTCGATTGTTTAAGAAAATTCGTGAGCAGTTGATATTGTAGTAGGTCCATGCAGAATGTAGAAAAATCCACAAACAGCATTGTTAGGCGCCGGCACCTGCTACGTTTGTTCGTGGTCCACTTCCGTTTGCCCTCGGGTGGCGAAAGCCTTGACAGTCCTGGGCCAATGGCGAACGTGAATCTTCCATCGCCGGCATGTAGAAAAAGCAGGGAAAGCTGCTCTATGGCCGGTCGTTGTGCACGTCCACCTGTAGGGTCGCCTTCTTTTTGCGAGAGCGCTGTAGCGACCCGCCACTGGGCTGTACGGGGACCTAATCAGTGTCCATATGCTCCACTGCTGCACTTGCCTACGCCCTTAACTTTTATTGCTCACTGTCAAAAACTGGTCCGCAATTGCTACGCCATCTCTCTTTTACTCCCCTCAGACCAATGTTACCTTTGAAAATGTGTCCATAGGACGAGAATATTAGGCACCGAGCTTGTTTACTATTATTCAGTTTCCCACGACTTGCCAACGTACCTTGAAGTACCGTGTGAGACCAAAGAGGTTGAGATGCATAGCACTTCTCCAAACCAGCATATGCAAATAAGTGCTACTCGGTACAAAGCGGGTGTTCTCTGCAGGACACCGCTACTGAATTGTTTGATTGAACGCTCATGACCCCATGGAATATACCATAATTTTAATGTAGAGATAGACATCAAAAATCGAAACAGCCTTGCCTGCAAAAGGCAAATCCTATACGGAAGCAACTCCATGGGGTGCTCTCATTGTTCATCAAGAAAGCGGGAAGGGTACAAAGGAGGCGGATGCTGACAAAATCGACAAGAGAAAGAGACGGTCCACGCAACCCGGCATCATTCGCCGTTGAAGTCTTTCCTGTGAACAGGCGCTTCTGAGAGGAAGTACAGAGAGAAGACGATGGGCAACAATTCTTTCGTTGGAAAAATCCAACCCGATGGTGGCTTGCATGTTAGGTTTGCCGCGCTGTTCTTTCTACCTCAGTAGGCGGTAGCCTACAAGGCGGTCGATTGTTTGGCTGTTCAACAAAATTTTGTTCTTCAGGTTACTGACTGTAGCTTGAATCTCAGCTACCCGCTCCTCCATGGCACGCAAATCTGCTTCCGCAGATTGCTCAAGCTCGTGTAATGCTGTCGACTTCACATCATGGTGGTTACTGTAGCTGGTGCCCCCACCGCTCGGTGGTTTGGGAATATGGATTGGCTCATCCACGTTAATGGCATTGGCCTCCAAACAGGTACCTGATTCAGATGCAGAAGAATGGTATAGCCTGGTAAGATCACAAAAGTGCCGATATGTCTTCATCAGGTGGTTGTTCTGTGTTACTGTGTGTGGATATCTGTCTCTAATCCAACGTAGGAGCACCTACCAAGACTGGATACTAGCCGTGTCGTCTCCTGCAGCAATTCAACAGCTTGCTCAACATCAGGGGGCTCTGCAGCTGAACCTTTCGAAGCCGAGCCTGCTGTGGCGCTACCTTTAAGAAGCGCTTTGGCCCCACAGTGCATGTCTACAGGCGATGTGTGAGGCCCCACTCGAGGTGACATGGCAACAGCTCCTGTCCTCTCTACTCTGGAGAAAAGTCCAAGTTGATGTGGAGTGAGAAGCGCATCTGCAAAAGCAAATTCAATCGACGTCGTTCTGCACACCTAAGTTGCAGCGGCACGAGCGATCGGCAGTTGTGCACACAGCTGGCTCGCTCGCCCCTGACACATTTTCACGATGTAGCTCTTCATAATCAGAACTAAATTAATTTGCGCAAACCATGAGGTCAACTTTTTTTGCGGGTCGTCGTGATTCGAGAGCAACTCGTAGTGCGCCGCTCTTCGACCGTTCTGGAGTTAGGGGGTTCGGGCAGTGGGTCACCGTCTCTGTTCCCTGGCCATTTCGCCCATAATCAAGGTGCCTGACTTCTAAATAAATTATTAGGAAGCACAAAAAACGGGTCGTAGGCGAGTACCGGCGGTAGATGTTTTTCAGCCCCAGTTTTCCATCCATCGGGGGCACGTGCGCAGCTACTGCGAGCCCAAGCCACTGAAGCGAACAGGAAGCCAGGAAGGACACCGGGCTGCAGGCCTTCTTTTTTGCTTGTGGCCTTGATCTGTTTTGTTGTAACGAGGAAGGACCTCTAGCCAGCGAAGCCTAAATATTCTAGGAAGTACATATACGCTGGCAGTGCGAGTGCTAATGGTGCGGGAGTATGTTCCATTGTTGAGTTTAGCTACTGAAAAGTTGACTTACCCTCTATTATGTAGGGGCTCAGCGCAGGAGCAGTGGCATGGAAAAGATATTTTCCCGATAGAACTGCGGAGGTAATACAAAGTCGAGTACCTGGGTAGAAGAACGTGAACAGCGCACCTTAAGATGAATGCCTCCGTAGGTACCTGTACTGCCCAGGCTAGTGAGGTTGCCGCTAATGATGCTTGCCCGCATTGGAGATGGCGCTCTCTCTTGATGTGGCTGCCACAGCCATTGCTGCTAAAGGCGATTTCTGCCAACTACTGCTGCATGCAGCACTTTTGGACCATGCGTAGAATGCATGATGGCGATCGCCCACCAGGTTGCTGTAATAAGCTAGAGGAATCCCGCAGCAGTCCAAGAGTCGCTTTGCCCTCTGCAAGAGTTCCCGCCACAGGCGAACTAGTTCATTACAGTATTGCCGAAGTTTCCCCGGTTGATGTTATCCCAGTTTCTGTCATTGAACGCTCCAGCGAACCTAGAGAGGCACCCGAGAGGTCCCCTATACCAGAGCTATCTCTACATACTTCTGCAGCCCGAAGCAGAGACGTTTCTCCAAGCAAAATGGTGGTTTCACCACGAGGCACATGCCCCCCGTCCCACCCCAGGCTTTTCGCAGCTTCGGTAGACAATACTCAAACAGAAGAGCCACTAAGGTTTCTGCTCTACCAACAAACTCAGCACAATACTCCAAGACGGCTTCCAGCTCGGTGCGGCCAAAATTGCCAACAAGACCTGGACGAAAGACCTGCGGGAAGCCACTTTCCATTGGGTTTCGCTCCCTTGTTCTATTCTTCCAAGGCCCAAACAGCAAAATCGCGGCTGAATGACTTTTCTGCACAAAATGATAATTCTTTGGTATAGCTCAACCCTTCTGAAACATGATAAGGCAGGCGATGCCAAGGTGATAAATGTAATTTCGAATCAATTCCAGCGGTTTTCCACTAGCAAAAATACGTCTAAGATCGATGCACGCACAGGAAAGCTAACCCTACCATCCTGATACGTGTAAAACCAATGAGACAAGCACCTAAAGACTCACAACATGCACTAGGGCCTCTTCTCTCTCAGGGGTTCTCACCAGATCGACGAAGGTTTCTGCTGTGCATGGGCGTGAGCTGTTTCGCCAGGCACTGGAGCCTCCCCACTTGCCTACATGTAACGGGCCGAACTCTAATGGACAGAAAATACTGGCACTGGAAGTAATGGAAGATGCGCCACGCACGAAGGAGGTGGATGCTGCGGCAGGGGCAAGGACGTCACCTGAGCATACCAGTCGCAATGCTCATGTAGGGCTTACTCTACCTACCAAGCTCAAGAGTCGTTCTCAGCAAAGCCAGCATGTGCATGGAAACGGATTACCAGATCCTTTTTCTACTGCTTCTGTCTGTGGAAACCTCATCGCTGCTGTTCCAGAACATCCAGAAGAACTTTCCCCTCAGTCTGCGTTGCAAAAAAAAACTCCTCTTTGTCTGAATGGCAGTTGCCACGCAGAAGCAGATGGTTCATCAAGTGCCAGCGGCCCTAGCAAGCAGCTGCACCTAGCACTGCCGCACAGTGCTGCGCCGTCGACCCATTTCAGCTCAGATGAGGTCACAGAAGGCTTGCGACTTGGAGGTTTGGAATCTTGGCACTTCCAAACAGAAGTAAAAGAAAAAGAGTTAAATGGACCTCAGCAAGCAAACAATAATGACTGTCTTGGTAAAGAAATCGCGCAGCATGTGGAGGGCGTACCGGAGAAGCTACGCCCCATCTTAAGTCAAGAGGAGCTCCTCGAGGGAGCTCAAAAAAATGTGGACGTGGCCGGTAATGTACGTGCAGGATATGAAAGTCGTATGCAGGACATGCTAAAACCGAAAGATGATGGGCAATCTACCGCACCCAGTTCAGACATGCGGATCCTGCGCTCAAAGACGGTGATGATCCCTGATCAGAGCATCTCTAGAATTCCAAGAGACATCCCCCTTAGACGACAGACTACGGCTGTTCAGTGCAACCAGCACAAGAATACCTCACCGTCCGTAGATTCCTCCAGAGGTACGCCGTCCTGAGGCCCCGCGTGGAAGGTGAGCAGCGCAGGCGGCATCCGCCTACCCGCTGTTAGGAAGCTCCAGGGCCATAAACACGATGAAGATAGGCATGACCATAAGATTGCAAATCAGGGCAACGCACTCTAAAGCACACCCCTGGAGGCACTGCACTTGTGTTGCTAGCATTCCGAGCGTACCACTGCGCTTTTACAAGCCTTCCTAATCGGCTCGTAAACTCCTTTGCATTCCACCACAGGCCGGCGGAAAACGAGCACTCCAATCAGTTGCCATTCTGTCCGACGAACTCAGAGTGATGGCCGTGAACTCTTTTCTGGGGACGCGAGCGTTCCTCAGACGTCTATTGCACGGATGGATGACTTGCATTCATCACGCGTAGCCAAGCGGCGAGTGATTTCAATATCTCGTCGGTCCCCCCAGCAACTCGAGGAAAACTTCGTCACTAGAAGCACCCCGGAAATCCACTTCCCATGTGACCCTGTTCCTCCTTCCTCTTCTTCTTTCAGTCAGAACGGGACACTGGGGATCTCTGCATATTTGCAGAATGTTTGCCGGCAAGTTGGACAGGAAAAGCATGTGACATGCAACGAAGGGACCGAAGATTATTTGACCGTCAAGAATGACAACGCGACGAACAGTCTAAGGGATAAGAAAAACGCTGCTTCCCTATTAGTATCAAAGAGGTGCCGCAGCGCATTTCAGAAGCAGGTCTGTCATGTTGAAATGAGTACCAGCAGAGAGCAGGGCCACTCTGCAAAGCAACTCGCCATGGTGACGTTTAGAGCAAAGGGAGGTGTCAGTATAGAAACATTGAGACGGTTGCCGAGGCCCACCCACCAAACAAGGAAGGTTGGTCGTGAAGCCTGCAAAAGGCATCACAACGAAGTCCAGTCCCTCAGCAGTCAGCTGCAGAAGAGGCCGAGTTGCAGATTTACAAGAAGGCGACTGAAGTGCAAGAATGGAGGACGGCAACTGGTTCTGCGACACATATATCAGAAGAGACCACATGAAACCATCTGTAGACGAGACAAATATAATGAAACATCGGCTATTCAACAAGAGGCCGCAAGCAACCAACTCTTAAAAGACAGCAGCGGCAAAACGAGCAGCATGGGAGAGTCAATCACCGCTTCGCCTGCTTCTACCCCTAAACGTGGCTTATCTGGAGAAAAGTGCGATATTCACATTGGGGCGTACCTCAAAGGAGGAGAATGCAATGCAAGAGTGCAGCAGTTAGAAAATTGCCCCACAAGCAGTTCTTTTAACACCTTCGTAGCTTCAGAAACCTTAGTTGGAAAAGCCTTAAGAAACCATTGTTCCACCTTGGAAGAACTTGAGGTGTGCCGCAACGATGAGGCAGCCCAGAATGTGAAGGGCTGCAAAGCGCACATACAGGAAGTCAGTGCTAGCCTCCCCAGTCACAATACACTCCGCCGACGGGCTGTTTCCTGCATCAGTTCCGGGTCTGATGGCGTCCCGCAACTGCAGTTCATTGGAGGCCCGTGGATGAGCTGCCATCAGCGTGTTAGTAGGTCTTTGTCATGGACTACAGGGTGTGCACGAAATGGGGATACGGCCCTAGTTCCACTTAAAGAATCCACGGGTAATCTCCCGAAACTGTCATTGGGAGAGCCACCCCACCTCTCTGAAGTGGAGCCAGTGCTTAGCTATCGCGGCTCCTCAGATGAAGCCGGCAATGTTGCGAGCATTGGCTCTACGATTACGGAAGCGAATGCGACTGCTTTGCGCCTTGAAGTGGAAAATACTCACCACGAGCCAAGTGTGTCAAAGGTTTTTCAAGGAATATTCTGCAGGGAGCTGAGCTCGGGACACGACATGCTGATGGGTGCCATCTCTACCGCCAGTAGCCAGAGTCCCTATACCAAGCGTACACAAGGCAGTTTAGTGAATATTCCGCCACGGTTGACTATCGATTCGCCGCTTCTCGGGAATGCTGCGGCTTTAGCTCCACTTCCACACGAACCGGGCGCAGAATCCAGAGTAAGGCCTCATGAGATATCTGCGGGACTTTCGATGGCCAGTGGAGGCCGATTTGGCCAAGTGGGCACCCTTAGTGAGGCTCCTTCTGGCGATTACGCAGTGCCACATTTCCCGGGGCCGCACATTGTTAGGCATCCACATGCATTGCTACTTACAGAGGGCGGAAAGCGTATGATTCACAGCATCAACACCCATGCTTCAGGCCAGCCTGCCATAGAACCTGCAGGGCCCTCTAAAGGTTCCATTTGGGCTACTCCTCGCTCTGTGTTGATTTCACATCTGGATGGCTGTGGTGGATACACCGACGGGAAGGCTGCCAAAACGGGGAATGACTCTAAGCCTCCTTATGGTAGAATTCTGCACTGGGGGAGCCTACAGATAAATGAACAGGCTTTGCAGACTCCTTGCTGCAGAGGAGATGCAGAGGAGTCTGTGACTAAAAGTAATTTACAGGGAGACGCAGCCAACTACGCCGAGAAGAACCCATTTCCTCAGCCCTTTGCTGACTCGCAACAGGAACCGTCTGCTTTGCCTTCCGTTGCTCAGTCATGCCCAGCCCTTCCAACACCGTTGCATACTCCAGTCAGAAGCCAGGAGTATACGCAGAAGGATAATCACCGTTCAGCTGTCGATGAATCTGGGCTTCCTGGCTTCAGTTATGACAATAGACTGCATACACCGGGCGCTCGGGCTCCACGCCGTGCTTTTGCGCGCGTCCTTGGGACACTCAGGAGAGCGGCATCTCCTTGTGTCCATTCAGTTACCGGCGCCTACCGGTGTAGAGGGGCATTGTGCTACTGTTCGGGCACATGGCGTGATCATGCCTTTTGTCACGTTCCAGTGTTCTGCAACCATCTGATGCGGGAGGGGGTGCTGCCGGTGCAACACCATGGACCGTTTTACCGTCGCTCCAAGATCCCCAGTTCATTCTACCTAAAGGAGGAAGCTTTGAAGTGGATGCTACACAGTCAGCGAAAGCGCGTACATCTGCTCAACAAGCAACTTGCAATTCAGCAGCAGCAACTAGAACAAGCGCTGCAATTTCAGCAAACGCAGTTTAAGCAAACGCTGAACCGGATGAACTTCTCGATCGGCCGCCTCAAGAACGATTATACACTCAGAAAACAGAGTCTTGGCCTACGCCACCCTAGCTTCAGCCGCAGAAGGACAAGAACAATTTGTAGTCAAGAACGACCTTTCGCCATACTCCAGGCCGCAGCAGCAGCAACCGCAGCAGCTCTAGCCGCCGTTGGTGTATGCGAACAGCGAGCACACAAGCTGCTTGCCCACTCGCAAAACCCTGTTTTCTCCATAGGTGATTCAGCGCAAGGGTCGGTTGGTACTGTGAAGAGTGAAGGTCACCGTGGTGCCACACATGGGTTGCTTCCTGGCTCTCAGCAACAGCTGCCTGCGGCAAAGTTGGGTGAAAAGGTAAGGAGAGACAGCGCAAGGCCACTAGGTCGGCCCTCCATGAATGAAGAACCCGCCCGACCGCATCAAAGAGAAGTAAATTTTCAGTCACGGGAGTCAAATGATGTCGTTGCGAGGAAGCTCCAGTGGTGCCTTGCATCTTTTCAGAAAGCATATGACCCTTTGAACCACTCCTCACAAGACTCAGCGCATGGAGGGAACAATGTGTTGCCTCTTCAGCTGGCCCCGTCTCAAAGCTGGCAGCCTAGTCCCACTGAATATGTGGAAAAGGGTCAGCCCGAGCTAGGCTGCCCAATGCTCCCACGAGCTGCATCCGAACCACCGTGCCCTAAGCTTTCCATCGGGCTGGACCACTCGTTTCCATCACCGGGGAGGAATATTTCTACAAGCGGGGCTATTGATTACTCAAGATCAAGTTCACAGGTGGAGGTGACTGTTACACCCAGTGTGCGCAATAATCGTAGCATTCCTGCCCAAAGGATTCAGACCAAACAGAACGCTTCACGTAGTCGGGAAGGATCTTCCGGAGGACGCAGAACCGAGCCACCAGATTTGCTAGCTGATGCGTCAACATGCCGCAAGCGCAACAGTATGCCTCTGAGCAGCGCTTCACTTGCAAGCTGTCGAAGTTTGAGCAGAGGCAGCAGAGGCTCACATGTTGAATCACGCAGCCGTAGGACCGCAATTCGAAGCAATAGCAATGGTCAGCGAGGCAATATCCACTCTGAGACCTCTAGAAAAAAACCAGGAGATATTCTATTAGTGGAAGGCCTTCACGGAGTACCAGGGAGGTACCGATGCAATGCCATTCCTATGGCGTATCACCGGGACCCCAGCATCTCAATCTTTAGCCAACTTTTTGAAGACAGTTTTCGTAGACAGAGAAACCTCTTGCTCCTTCGCATGCAAAAACAACTGGGATCCATTTCTATTGTCCGGCCTCAAAGGACTCGTGGAGGAGAAACCCTACAACATAGGCCTATGCTGGTAGCACGGGCTCTAACAAGCCACAATGTTACTTCGCATAGTGGGGGAACCGCAAAGAGCGTCAGCAGCAAACAAGAAGTTTGCCCTAGACTTGGCTGGATAAATAGCTCGCGTGAGGCGCTAAGAACGCATGCCGAAATTTCACGTAAGCCCACGGATGGGCACGGCGATCATAAGGGGATTCGCGGGAAACCCTCACCTATGGAAGATGCTGTTGGGGAAGAATTGTTTCTGTGTCCTGGATCCCTTTGCCTCACTGTTGCACAGGCAACAGCAGACCCCGAAAGCAGCCTATGCATGCACGCTGCGACACCACCAGCAAGACTGGTGCAATTACCTTCTCGTAGAGAGAACCTTGGCGCCTTTGTAGCTGCCCTGGAGGCAGAGAGCCTAAATTAAATTACAGCCATGTTTGACCCGCAGAAGCGAATGCGAGGAGGTAACTCACGATTGATGTACCGGAACCCAACACCCCAGTTGGGAAGCACGCGCAAGTTTCTAGAGTAGTTGAGTTCAAACCAGTCTGGAACGTCTTGGATAAGGAGGGGAATGTGGCGAAGGCCCTGCGAAACACTGTTTAAACGGGAGAGGTGCTTGAGGGCACTGCAAAACACGCTGACGGCGGAGTTTTGCAGCAATTAGTTCGTGCATATTTTACCCGGTGTGGAATGATGAATGCGCACGGTTCTGCACTTACATTGGAACTAATCCTTATAGCGCCTTAGTATTCCGACAAAATTAAAACATCCGGCCTCTTTTCGTGAGGGGTGTTTCCAGTTTTGTGTGGGCTGACAACGAGTGCGTAGATGAATAATATGAAGGAACACACTACAGCGAGTCCTGCGCAACCCAGCGTAATGCTAGGATGCCACTAAAGCGCGGAGGATTCACTGTTAGGACAACAAAGGCACCTTCATAGCCAGTCGCCTATAACCCGTAAGGGGCTCTTGGGGAAGCTGGCACTTTCCGTGTCTGGAATATTGGATAGCTAGGGTTGTGCATCACTCGGCGACAGAAACAGAAATATCTATGTAATACTGCCGGATGAATGCAGTGCTGACAGGCGAAACTAGCCAGGACTTATACGGGCACAAGTCGATACGTAATTCACCAGTGTCAAGGTCACTGCATCGTCACCTCCGATCACTGAGTGAACCTTCCTGGCACCGTTCGAAATGAGTAGATATCGATTCACGCAGCTTTCATTTAGTCCCCTGGTTATATACACAATCGTTGTAGCGAGGAAAATTTTCTACGCGCTTGTGTAAAAGCCATTTCACCTTGTTAACGCTTGCAGTGCCGATGTAGGTGCATATGCTACCTTAAGTGGCAGTTGCTGAAGAGTCAAAGTACGCTGCTAATCCTTATCTCTTTGAAAACGACAGTTGGCTCCATTACACGGCCATGCAACGTCAGCGACGTGCTTAGGAACACGTTCTGGGGGGCATCTGCAGCAACAAATGCGGCACCCGAAGTTGAGACAAGGGGGAATAAAAGGTTCAGGTCCGATGTTTTAGGCACCTAATATAAGGGCATATTCATAAACAGCCACTGAGCTCCGGGATATGTCAATGCGATACAAGCATAAGTGAAGCAGAAGAACCAGGCCTTTTAAAGGCTTTCTGGAGTGCTGGCAGGCGGATGCCCGTCTACACTAGGCAGGGCACCGCCTGCACCCTTTGGCCGCCTGCGGCTTTGCGCTTGCTGCTGCTGTTGCCACCACGGTGGAAGAGCTTCGAATGTAAGGTCGGGAGCTTTTAGACGCCGAGCAATGTATTTGGGAGTTATAATGTTATTGTAGATATCCCGTTGTTGCTGTGTAAGTGTCTCGGCCCAAAGTCGTTTAAGGGCAGCTAAGTACTGGGAAAGACTGGGAGGGCAAACTTGGTCGCGACACAGGGATAGGACTGACCACATTTCCAGGCAAAATAGATCGTACCCTGCAGCATCAGAATTTCCGTCACAGGGTTGAGAAGGATGGATGTGATATTACTTTTCCGCTACGAATGAGAATGTTACTGATCGTGTAGCCTTCGCTGAGTAAGCAGGGCAAGGAATAGGGAATAGGGATGAGGCCTTGTATTGAAAAGGATGAAACGGCAAGTAAAGACAGATGCAAGTGGAAATGCGGGTGTTTGTTAGAAATGTGCCAGTAGAAGCATGTAGCGCTAGAATGGAGTTAGTAAAGTTACCAGTCATTTGAGGTCCCACATGGGGTAGCAATGTAGACGGCGTCTCCTCCTCTACTCGTGTGGGCAAGAAAAGTGTACGGCAAATGCTTGCCTTTGCAGAACACAGCCGTATGTCTCCCTCTCGACGTGGCGGGGGTGTTGCTAGAAGAGGGTCCCTGCACCCAGCCATCGATCCTGCAGGCAGCTGAATACGGGCCGATCTATCATACCGGTTTCCATTTCTCTCCGTAGATGACTCTCTGACGCCGGCATTGTTTCCAACCCTGCGGGAACTCCGCGATGAAGTCTGCTGGTTTGCTCCGGGAGCCTCAGTTGCATCCTGACTCTCTTGAGAGGGCTGAGGGCGTCGGTCATGTTGCTGTTGCTGTTGTTGCTGCTGTTGTTGCTGTTGCTGTTGCTGCTGTTGCTGCTGGAGTTGCTGCGGCTGCTGATCGAATGGAATCGCAGGGTCGCACACGTAGTTGTATGAAAGGCGCTCTCTCCACAGCTCTGCAGAGGCACAGCAGTGGTAGCAGAACTGCTTTTAGCTACCTAGCAACAACACACCTGCAGTCACATCGAATTTAGCCCGAGCGAGGCAGGGAATTCTACGGCAACACGGCAACGAGAAGGAACATGAATGATCTTACAGCGAAGGAGGAATGCTAACCTGTCTTCTCCTGGGCACTGTCCGCTCCAGCATTGAACACCCCTGCACCGGCCCAAAGCATCAACAGCGATGCGAATACCAGTACGTGCAAAATCAGCTTCAACAGAAACGGTTTGGAGGTTCCGGAACTGCCAGAAAATACTGCTAACTGCAGGTGCGAAGGCAGACTGGAAACGCCTACGAAGGATCCTTGGAGAACGCAGAACCGAAACGGTACTCCACTCACCGTCAACGTGCAGCACATGGAGACCTTTCTCATGCTCTTTGTAGAAAATGAATAGCGGGTGGTGACAAAGGCAGATGCGAAAGGTGGCAAGGCACTCAAAGTCAAGGTCAACGTATGCATACTTGAAGAAAACACCGTGGGACCAGCTGGTGCGGGGGGAAGGAGAATGCTGTAGGAGACGTAACAAAGACAGCTCATCGTCTTCCTCTTGCTGCCGCTGAAGCTCACGAAGTAAGGGTTGTAATGCGTGGGCCGGTTGTGGTTGTGCTGCCGCCACAGAACCACCATTGGAGCTTCTGGAGGCCTGATGGTGGCAACGACCAGGTAAGGTGGGAGGACTCATTGACACTCGCTCAAGGGTCTCGCTGTTGAGTTTGCTGCTGTCCTTGCTGCTGTCGTTGCAGCTGTCATTTTTACTAGTGTCTCTGCTGCTCTCAGGCTCCTCCAGCATTGGCCCAAGAAATTCTTCCGCAGCACCCAGCAAGAAAGATGTAACACCCTTCAAAACCTGCAATTCTGCGCGCCTCAGGCTCAACTGCGGTTCGGATAACTCCTTAGAGACATATTCTACAGGGGGCGGCATTTCATCTTGAGTTGGCCTAGAGGCCCCAGCAAGGGAACCAAGAGCCTCCAGATGGGGACACACGAGGTCACCTAGCAGCGGCAGATGCTCTCGAGCAAACGCAGCAAGATGCCTCCTAAGAGCCTCAACCTTCGTTGCGTGTGAGCCTCTTTGCCCACCCAACGCCGCTTCCACCAGCCGCCGCCTCTTTGGGCGGGGTCCGCCAGATGGAATTATTGCTGCTGTTCGTTGTGTGTCGGAGGAATGTCGGTTTCCTTCTGCACTCGCCGAGGGCCTGCGTCTGCGTGCAGGAAGGCCGTCTTGCTGCCGCGTTGCAGTCGCCGCAGCGTCGTGCGGTGGGCCATCAGGAGGGTATTTCTGAACAGCAGGAGTGGAGGCGTTATCTTCCGGTTGCCCACGCTGTGGGGAAGGTTGCACGTTTACTTTCCCTTCATTCTGAGTCGCTTCCGCAACCTCTAGTTGAGGTTCTAAAGGTGCCGCCTCGCTAACGCATCCTCGGGATCCCGCTAGACCACGCAGGGAGGACGGAATAGCGCGCCACAGCCAAGAACCTGCCTGCACTCATTGAACAATTCATCACGACTCCACGCTGTCACACCTCCAACCGACAGAAACATCGTTCATTGGGCTTTCCAGGAGGAGCGAAGGCACGAACTCTATTGAGCAACGCACTCTGCACTATCCGGTCTGAAAGCTGAGCCTTGAAAGGCATTACCACGCAAGTGGAAGTTCACCCAAACCTAATCCATGAACACTAAACTATTCACACTAAACGATGCAGAAACCCCACCTGCTGAACTCGATGGCGACAAGAGCTTCCATTTGTCGGTTCAGGCTTGTTGAGCCCCGCTCTTCCCTCCTGAAGCAACATCCGATTGAACTCCACAGTGACGCTGCTGCAAGAATCTACCGGCTGCTTCTGGGTTTCTGGGAGTTCCTTGCTGCTTGTCTGAGAGGACGTCTCCGGAGTTAAACAGATCACATCGTTTGGGTCCTGAGAAAGAGGAGGGGAGGTTCGTGCTTAAGCCGCGTGCAGCACAGTGAAGCAAACTAGTTTCGCCGCCTGCACGGCAGCTCCCCCCGGGGATGCTGGCATGCTGCTGCTGGGCATGCAATTTTTTGTGTTATAGTAGCTGGATGTAAACAATTCTTTACAACTTGCAGCTGCTTGTGGATGCAAATGGAAAATGATCAGCAACTGCCCCTAAAATGTTGCGCAACTCTTGCGAGGGATGTTGCTTCTTCACCTGGTTTCGGTTTTTGCAAGCCTCCTCTTCTGCTGTCGGGACTCCTGCAATTGCAAAAAAGAAAAGCAAGGCCGATCCATCTGGACTTTTGACAAGCGGGGCCTCTTCATCTCTTCAGGGGAATGCGAATGGGTCAAGCGAATCCCGAAGTGCGACATCAGTAAAAGTGTCAAATACTAAACCCGGAACCAGCTGGATCTTTGCCGTACTCAGCGCCTCATACTCCATCTCAAGGCACAGCGGGTCGCTCTGGCTTTTGATCTCCTTCACGATGCCTCTGTTCTTTTTGTAGCTGCCGAGCATTTGTAACTGCTGCTGCAGCAACTGCTGGCGTGCATAGTCTATTTGTGAGACGCTGCAAGCTCCGCAGTTGAGGAGGGCGTACAACTGGAGATGAATTTGGCCCAACCCGTAGTTGTTGAGACCTGCGCTGCGCCTTAGCGTCGCTTCGTCCAGGGGAGCCGCATACGGCTCGCCCCAGGCATTGCAGCAGTTGCTGCTGATGGGGCTGCCAATGTGCTTAATGTGTATATAGGCTTCCGGATGGATTTGGGCGGGGCCATTGAAGTTCAACTTTTGCAGTGACCGCAGCTTCTTGCTGCTGAACAAAAACAGTAGCTGCTGCAGCTCTGGTGTGATGGTCCACCCAAGGGATAGCCGACGCAGGCTGAAGGCAGAAGCAAGCGAAAATATGGGAAAATGCAAGGACTGTAGATACAGGGAAACGCATCCATTGGCTTTTGCCTGCATTGCGCCTTATTGCTAGCACGAAAACGTGATCTACCCCACCACTGGTAAGTTGCTCTACGACTTAATTAGTTTCGATCCTCTCATCACTGCTCACTCTTCGCCCGCTCTTACCATTTGAAGTTGAGTTGTTCATGCAAAACTGAGAAGTGCCGGACTTCCCCGTCCACGTCTAAGAGTTGCAGACTTTCTGCCCCAACTTCAAGAAGGTGCTGCAGAGCGCGGACTAATAGCTCCTGCGTCGCTCTCTCGTGTTGCTGATTTTGCTGCTGCACGCTGGTGTTGTGTGGAGGCCTTGTGCCACGCGCAGGCGGGGCGCTGACAAGGGTTTCTGGGTTGCCCGGCTGCTGCTGAGCTTGCGGCAGCTGCTGCTGCTGCTGCAGCAGTTGTTGCTGCTCTGCAGATGCGAAGCTGAGTTGCGCAAGTGACGTGTCAGGGCCAGAGTCACCGTGCGGTTGATGTACAGCGCCCGAATTCATTCTGTACAGAAATGGATTTCCGGCAACGGCGGACAGCTCACTCAACAGAATGGCCCTGCGCCTTAAGAGAGCGACCGCCTGACCTGTCAGCGGCAGCGTATTCCCGCCTATTACAGCAGACACATAAGGAACATTGCTGCATTCGACACACTCCTGAGGCACCTTCACTGTACAAATGGAGACTAGGCGACAGCTATGGGTCACTGGAAATTTGAATAGACCGGCGTTGTCTCCGGCACACACTTGAAAAGTGTGCGGACAGCAACAGACTAGTAAACGACATACAAGAAAAACGGCGCTTAAAAAGAAACAGCCGGAGTGGCGGGTGCAGCTAAGAACTGGCAAGCTAGAGTGGTGCCTGCTCACTTCCACCGAAAATTCGTGAGGGGCCTGTTGGGGGCTTTTCCTTGCGGCGAATCATGCAAAGAGACCCGTCCGAATGTATAGCTATTATGTTGCTATCATTTAACAGAAGGTACGCGACAACATGGGGCTGAACCCAATGTGGGTCGTCAGTGTTTCTGATTGCTGAAGCCTCAATCCTTCCCGCGACAGCTGCCGCTTGAGCAGATGGGACTGGCGCCCCCAGTTGGTCCTTTAGACGCTCAAGCACCGTCTCTTCGACCTCAAGAAGTGCGCAACAACTGTCTCTTGAAGCTGCATGGTAAGTACAGCCAGCCGCAGAAGAAGCTTCACAATCGGTGTCGCCAGACGAGAGCTGTCTTGGGCAACAAGGACATGCCGATCCTTCTGTGCTTGTGGGCTCCCGCCAAAGTACCCCCGTTTTCATAAGCATTAGTCTCTGGGCTGAGTGGATCGAGAGGGTTGAGAATCCGAGGGAAATCGACAAGTTCGATGTCACCTGCAGCGAACACGAGAAGGCAGTGACTTTAGGGTTCAAGGAAACGCCTATTCCCCCCAACGCGGTTGTCCTTTCTGCTGTTGCACAGGGATATGCATGCAGTTGCATGCGATACCCCGTACTGCGAATTCCCCACAATAAAAGAAAAGCAGATTCCGCGACATGTCCCAGCTGGGGCCTTACTTGGAAAGGAAAATCTATGTACAGGGACTTCAGAAGGGGCATCGAGGGCGGGAGCAGCAAGGGAGGGACGTGGCGCCACGTAGGCTGCATAGCCATACTCCGAAACGAATAAACTTCATGCAGTGAGTTCTATAGCATATCACTCGGTGCTTGAGGCCGCGCTTGTTGCCCCGCTGCCTAGCACGCTGTACTCTCAAGAGATGTGGCACTGCGGGACGTGAAGTGACAGAAGCCCAACTTCTGCATTGAGGCCTCGAGGGGTACGCTCAAGAACCTCTAATTGTATTATATCTCTGGTTTACGCTACGTCCATGTATGGTAGACGCACTGAGGAGGCTGAGAGGTCGACTGCGATTTTTACTGAAGCAAGAGAGTGGGCGTTTCTGTGCAGCAGCATCTGCAGGAGGAGCAGTAGCTCTATGGAGGCTTGAGCATCCCCCTGGCTTCCTGTGGGTGAGAGCTTGAGTTTAGCCGAGAGAGACTTGAGGTGACACAGCGAGGTGAGCAGCGGCGAAGCATTAGCTGCAGTGTAGGTGGTCCAGGGTGACGGTGGGGACGGAGGTGCACCTGCAGGGGGTTGGGCCTCCCCAGCAGCAGGTGCTGCCCCACAAAAAGCTGGCTGTACGCGCAGGAAATCAAGTGCTCTTCCTTGTACAAGACCATACGCCCACGATAGACGAGAAAGAGAAGGCACTGCAGAGAGCCTTCCAGCGGTTGCGTCCCTCTGGCCTTCGGGCCCTCCTTCTTGTTGGACTACTTGTTGCTGTCGGCTGCTACTAGCGCTTCGCTGCTGCTGCGGCCTTCTCTCCCCGCGTGTCCCTCTAGGAGTGTGGGCTTGCTCATTCCATACGTTACTATTGATTCCCACCTGTTCGTACCCTGCATCCGTAGGTCTCAGCAAACTTCCTGCAGCAGCAGCGGCAGCCGCAGCTGCGGCTGCTGCTGCAGCTCCCAGAAATAGGGGAGGGGACACCGCCGAGGTGAGCTCTATCTCGAGACTTTTAAGACCCGACAGGAACGGCAACTGCCTCTTGAGTGCAGCTGGAGGCAGCGACAGAAGAGAGGAGACGTTTCGTGCCGAAAGAGATACAATGCAAGAGTAAGATAGAAGCACACGGCGGGCTCTCCAGCAGGTGGAACCGAATGCTGTTGCTGATCCCACCGGCAGCAGCTGCAGCACTTTCGCCAGCAGCAGCGGCGAGAGCTCGAGTATGTGTGCTGCATGCAGGGGCTTACGAGGGACTCCGCAGTACGACAAGGCGCCCCAACATTCATCCTCACCAGGTCCCTGGCTAGTGCATGCAGCTTGACTTATGGATTCGGACGGCCCGAAACGGTCCCCTGAAGACAGCTGGCTACCGGAGAGCTCTCTTCGAGCGCCACATTCCCGTCTCTGCCTGCCCCTGCGGCTCCTCCCAGACGAACCGCGCGGACCCTTCTGCTGGTGCTGCTGCCCCTGGCGCTTCTCTTCAGGAGGCTTTGGCAAGGAGTTTGGGAGCAGCTCTGCGTTAACGTCCCTAATTGCACCAAACGGGTGCGGTGCAGCTGCAGCAGCTCCACCAAACGTGGTGCTGGGGATTTGATCAGCAGCAGCAGCAGGCGAGTTGCTTTGCTCCTGTAGATCCGAAAGAGGTGGGGCTCGATCCCCGGCAAAACCGTCTGGCGGTGAGATAACTATCGCTGGCGCGACTGTACCCAAATTTTCAGAGGCTTCTCTTTCGCCTGGAGGGCCCGTATTGCCTGTGTGGAGACGGCCCTCCGGCTGTCCCTCCTGCTGTTGCAGTTGCAGTCGGTTGTGCTCTAGGTGCTGCTGCTGCGGGTGCGAAGCTTCTACATGCGGTTCCCTAGAAACCTCATGGCCAGCGGTTGGGTGGCAATTCTGCGTCGTTGTGTCCGCAGGCTGATTGGCCTCTTCAGCAGCTAGTGGGTGGCCTTTGGTACGGCGAGCCCCTGCGTGTCTCGTCCTCGATGACGTCGAGGGGGTGTGTCGAGACAACTCAGGAGGGGGAGGGCCCCTCCACTCCCCTTTGAAGTTGGCGGAGTGCCGTCGGGGTGGTGGCGTGCGGATAGAAGGGGCGAAGAGGGCCAACGCTCCAGCATTAAGCTGGCATTGAGCAGGAGGGTCTGTAGGAAGCCTCTCAGGGGCCTCCACCTGTGAAGGCGTACCTCCTCTAGGGAGTCCTATGGAATTGCTTCGAGGGGTGTGGAGGCGTTGCGGTGGATCTTCCTGCGGCTGTACAACCACTACCGGTCGCTGTGTCTGCAGTTGTGGCTGCTGCTGGGGCTGTTGCTGCTGCTGGGGCTGTTGCTGCGGCTGCAGTTGTTGTTGCTGCTGTGGATGAGGGTTTCCCATCGTGTATTGATTCCCAGTGCAAGGTTTAAATTTCCAGCGGTTTCTACGTTCCAGAAGCTTGCTGCTGTCGCAAATGCAGCAAATGTATCAGCAACCGTACCATGGGATTGACAGGAGGAGGTGTTGCACCCTCAAGTGGTTGCCTTGGGGCCGTCTGCTTGCATTTCCCTCTTACGCTGTGAAGGGGCCCCTCTGCCTTCCCTTCTCTTACTTCTCCGTTCTACCGCAAATACCTGCTTTGAGGGGCCCCAGTGCGGCTTCAGCCTGTAGTGCTTAGAGCAGAGGCATACGGGAGAACTGCCCACACAGTAACCAGGAATTGCCCTTCTGTGGACTTGTGAAGTGCAAGGTCCAACAGATTGTGCTGCAGGTTCGGCCCTTGGGTTTTGAGGCTTCAGGAGTAGCTCCTGTGCACTTGCTCAGTTCGATGACAATTATGCCCATTTCTCGGAAGGGCTGACCTTTAGAACGGGAGCGAAGTGAAGCAGGACAAACGCAATAGGGGTAAAAAAGGCTGCTACCCCGGAGGGCCTGCCGGGAGGGCGGCTGGTGAAGGGGTCCTTACAAAGCGGTGTGCTTCTAGCTGCGGGTAGGGCTGCTGGTATGAGCTCCTTAGGCTTTGACAATCTGGGTTAGGAGCTCCAAATAATTCAGCTGCAGATTACCAACTTGAGGCCTGCTAACAGCTTATGTGCGAGGTCCGGCCCACCCGCCTCTCTCGCTGTAGAAAGGTGAAGACCGTCTTTTTACTTTTCTAAGGGAAAGAAAGCCCCAAAGGCACCCAAAGGAAATAATGCTTTTTGAGGCATGTGCTAGTACACTCGACAGCTGCACATCAAGCACGCTGATGGGGAGGTGACCCTGGCACCCTTCTCCCACGGGCGAGGCATTTGGCCCCACCCCACCTAAGGGCCTAATAATCTAAAAGAAATATAGGCAACCTCACAAAAATAAACAAATAAGGTGTACATACAGAGTTCGTGTACAGCGAAGGAGTCACCGGAAGGTGGGGCATATCCTGCATATGATTTTTGAAACGCGTTCTATACGCGTTTACTTTGGGTAAGCACACACTTTGACCTTCTATCTACTTCCAACTTTCCCTAAACAGAAAGCACAGTGAAGATGTAATCCTTAATAAGGGTTCTTCTAGACCTCAGCTTCCGCATGCTTCATTATCAGGTAGGCTCCTCTACTGTAGTGACTGCAATACCTTCTGTCCTGAGGGCCTGCATTCAACTCCGCGCTACTACAATAAAACCTACTAGCCCAGTGCAGCTACAAATAAAATAACAAATAGAGGCAGGCGAAGGAGATGAGACAACAGCAGTTACGAGGTGAAGTGCGCCATGTACACCTAACCCGCTCTCGGCTTCTGCGCGACCGCTTACAACTGCCTCCTAAATCGTTTGTGAATCTGTGCACCGCGGCCCCAAGCACAATTAAATAATATGCCCTTAATAGGTAAAAAATAACTTCCCCCAAGTAAACAGCGTTTTCCAAAGCCTCCTTAGGTATAATATACTACGAGCGCCAGCGCCAGCACACTCGTGCAAATGTACGGTTGTGCACCAGTGAGCTGCGTAGCAGAACAACACGACTCTATATCTACTTTCTGTGGAGTCTTATCTGGTCTCAATGCACGCGCATATAGAGAAGCTTTCATAGAGCGAAGGGAATATACGGGAAAACAACGGCACACCAGACGGGACTAGGGGCCTCGTCACTTCCAGGATGCGTTTTTTCCCCTATCTGAACACGTACCAAAAGCACTTTCAGGTATAAATGGTTTGTGCTCGAATACATGCACCTGGAACAATGGCTTCTGTGGGCTGCGCTATTCACTGGACCGTAGTTGTTATCTTAAGCTTCAGTGCCCCTCGTCGTCGAAAGCGATTTTGCTGTTAAAGTGTTGCTTTATCCGAAGTTCGGATAGTAGATACAAAAAACGGTTTAAACTGATGCCATCCACCAAGAAGGGAGTTGAAGAGCTACGGATATGACCTAAACAACACTGTGGAGTGACTGAACAACTTGGTTCTTCGCTGGCATATTACCCGTCCCCTTGCGGTGATAAATTTAAATTCGCATACTGCAAAGTAGTCAATGAAGCTTAGGAACAGGGAAGGAATTGCAGAACACGCGTAAATACAGGGTGGCGACACGGATGCTCTTGAGACATTTATGAAAACATACACTTCCAATACAAGCAAACGAATTTGAGATATAGTGCAACAACCTTAGTAAGGATTATCGATGCATCTGGTGGACAATTAATGCGCTCGTTACTCTGTGGGAAAACGGAACTTGAAATGCCATTCTTAGCTGGGTGAACGCAACCATGTGCCCCGAACACCTATGCGCTTTGTTTTGGAAAGCAGCGTCTCCGAGAAAAACTGCTGCGGCCAAAATCGTTGTTCCCACTTGACTAATTCGTGCAGTAAGATTCAGTGAGACACGAGAGTCCTGAGTCCAGAACTTTCTGCATCAGCAGAGGATGCAACTTTGCATTCAGATCAACAGCTAGCCTTGAGGACACTGTTTCCCGAGAAAAAGTCTTGCACTTGCCTTTTCTGGGACTACCTATCAGTATGGTCATGCAAAGTTGTATGCTGCTCGCAGCAAATAGCATAGTGGGGCGCGTGCATGCTGTGTCGGGGGGACGCACTATTACCTGCAGATGCATTCATGCCTGGGCATAGTGAGGCCTTGCCTCCGAGTTGTCAACTAGGGTAGTACGCCCTACTATAGATCGTGTGAGAGAAGACCGGCTCCTCTGCCACGCAATGCCTATAAAGTATGCTAAAGCATGCTTTTTAATGAACTGGATTTACATTCCACCGCTGATCGAGCGCAGGCTCTAAAGCGGCCTAATTTGCAAACTTTTCCTATGCTCATGAGGAGCTGCAGACGAACTGTCGGGTTCTATTCTTGTCCCGATTGCCTTCTGTATACAGTCATTGAGGGCACTCCGATAATAACAGTCAACCAGAGCCAGAGTCGTTTCACAGTGAAGAGTGAAACTTACTGGCTGCTTTCCCGGAATGCTGCTGATGAAACGACGACGACAAATAAAGCTTAGCACCCATTACCAGAGAAACTGTAGTCAAAGAATCAGTCTCTCTGGTAATGGGTGCTAAGCTTTACTGGGAAATAATTGCCGTATAACTGGGGGAATCTAAGGGGACCTTAGCAAATTTGAGAGACTGAGATACTACCAATACGCCTCTAGGATGGCAAGGAAGAGCACATCGTATCGACCAAAGGGATGGATACTTTCCGGATTTCAGTGTAGATTAGCTGAAAACTACTACATGATTCCCCTGCAGACGCAGGAATATTCTATCATTGATCGCTGTGAGTGGACGTGAGCGAAGGTGACCCCTACTTGAGGCACACCATGAATAATGCATCTAGACCATGCAGTTTCCGTCCCAGCTGAGATGAATAAATTATTGTTTTTGACTGGTTTGTGCCTTTGTTCTTTTCTGGGAATCCATCTGGGTTCCATGTTCACTTCCTATCTATTCTTCACGCATTCCGTCGGGCCTTTCTCCCTCCTGGGTGCACGCCTATCCAAACAAGTCAACTGAAAACTCACGCTCACACACACCGTCGATTTAATGATAGAGCAGAATAACAAAAGAGAGCATTGTGTCTCGCTGCGGGAAGAACAAAAGTTTGAGGGTGAGTTTTTAACGGATGGGTTTGCAACGAGGTGCGCCGCCTGGCAGTGTTGCAGGCTGAGCCACTCATCTGGAAGGAGGAAAGCGGCTTCAATGATATATGGAACATTCTTTTGACCCGAGAATTTAGGAGTAGTGCGCCTTCATTATGATCTACCAACAAACCAAGGGAACACCTAATTACGCCCAGGCCGATCCCGTCTCCAGTGCTTAGTTTGGCCAGATATTCGCTGCTCTTTGATTCCTTCTCCATTAATGCGTAGGCTGACGCATAGATCTGAGAATTCGTGTCCTTCCAAAGAACCTATCGGTCGACTAAACTCCATGCCCTGCCTAGTCTCTAGGACTTACACCTTTGCGCCTTTGAAAGCATGGGCCAGGACACTGGGAGATTGAATTCATAGGGTTAACTGCTTACCATTCTAGAGCTTTCACTGCATGCGGCCTCGAACTAAGGCTGTCTGGTTGGGTTGCCTACCGCGCCTACACAACCTGGCTGAAGCCGTCGAAAGTGTTTAGTCGGCGTTTCTGCGGAACCTGGAGAGCAGCATGCCTTCTTCACAATGTCGACACTATCTGTCACCGATGCGCAAGAAGCGGAGGCAGGTTCCTTCGAACTTCCAGCATCCTATTGTGAGCCCCCTTTCTCCTGCTGCTGCTGCTTCTTCCTCTTGCTCCTCAGCACCATGTCGTTTACATTCCCGTGATGCACGCATGCGTCGGTGATGCTTCGAACGGTGCAGCGACGCCTGAAGGCTCGGGCATAAACGAGGAATTTCTTCGCCACCTCGACGGCGGGATCGGCAGCCCGCTCCCAGCAGCCAGGGAGGCCCCCTCGCCTCATCCCCCCGCGAAATCAGAGGTATGTCCTCGCAGCTGACACCGAAGAAAAACACAACCCACAATCTAGAGGACAACAGCCGAGGAGTTCTAGATTTAGGATTTTAGCATTACGGTGGATTGTCTAGGGCTTGTAGGAGCGTGCAGGCGGGCTAGATATGCCGCCTCTTGCGTTGAGGAGTTCCCTACATAAGGACGTCTTTTTCCCCCTGCGGTTTATGCATCAATAGGACTAATGGAGGACATCATGTTCTCCCGAAGCAAGAGAGTCTGAATGACAATCCATTCATTGTCATGCTGAGATTTCCTGCTCTTAGATACCTCCCGACCGTGCAGAGGAGCCTCCCAGAGCACTCACTCGGCCTGCATCAGGAGTATGGGCCACCAAGAACGAAACCTACACTCCTTCAAATGAAGCCTTTCGACAGCAACAGGTGCTACAGCAGCAGCTGAGAAGCCCCCAACAACGTCATCAGGAGCTGGTGGCTGCTCGGCGAGAGCAGCAGCAGCAGGTGACAGAGGCACACAATGAATGGCGCTGGGCAGAGCGCATGAAGCGGGTGGCGATGCATCAGCAGCAACGGCATCTTGAGTCTGATTGGAGGCAGACGCTGCAGATGCACCCCAGCAGAGGCCTGCCCGCTTCCTTTCAGGGACAACATCGGCAAAAAATTGGACTTTCATTTTGTCCCCACCGCCTAGCCAGCATCTACAACCTGTCTATACGGTACTGGGACGAAGGCTGCGCCTCGCTAGCTGTTCGGACACTGCAAGGTGCTCTGCAAATGCTGCAACAATACGAACTGGTGGGGGGCTGCGTTACTCACACTTGGGAGGCAATGCAGCTGCTGCGAGGATCGAAGCAGCAGCGTGCGTTGGGACCCACAGGAACTGCTGCACCCCCCACAGGCCTCAGCACAAGAAAGCTAGACATTAAAGAAAGATATCTCAGGTCGAGAGTCTTCTTCTCCCGCCGAATGTTCGTTGCCGCAGGTGAGCTGAATGAGTGGTTCACTGAATTAAGAAAGCGGCAGGAAGACAGCACCATAAACCCTTTTAGAAACGGGTTGGAGCTGTTGGCCGCAGGAAATAATGCAACGTACTGAATTTTTGGACTGCATTATGCTCAAGTGTAAAAAGCATATTTTTTTGCACTAGTACCTTATAGTTTTGACTTTGTCTATCTTTCTTCCCTTGCGGCCGTATTCGTGTAAAAAGTCGCTATTTTCAACTAAATACTTACAAGTATGATCACATATTGTTCTAGGTATACTTGCGTTTTTCACTTCCTGACTAGAGAGAGCTCGTGCATCCAGTGCTCATGCTCTTCTGTTGTATGTTCAGAAAAAGAACTCGAGGAAGTCAGGGGCCATCTTGGGTCTCTCCTTTGCCGGGCTAGCCTGAGAGGAGGCGGCTTGGCAGTTGCAGGGAATGCCGATCGACGGTGTTCCCGCATTAAGTAAGGGCCTTGGGGACCTGACAAACTATTGTACTGCCATGAAAAAATATTACTGACTTGTCTGTATCTACTCTGCTGCTGAAATAAGGCACCACTGTGGAAAAAAGGTAGCGCGAGCTGTGGGAGGTTCGTATTTGCAGCATAAGCTGCAACGCGAGTGAGCAGATGCAGCAGTCATTCAGCGTGCCGTGCTGTGTTTGACCTGGTCTAGAAAGCTTCAAGTATGCGCTTATCTCTAGACGTTTTCGCTGCCAATTCGAATTGAGGCTACATGTGCATACATACAAATCTAAGCGGACATGGGTACGAGCTTATGCACACACATATACGCAGATTTATTGCTGTCCTTTGTACATGGAGAGCCATTCGTTGGGGTGGCTGCGTTCGCTTTTTTTTGTTGCTGTAGGGAAGCTTTGGCTCGGGTGGAAGACGACTTGCTTCTACTGCAGGAGCTGCAGGCTCGATACAGTAGTGCGCAGTCATCTGAATGGGGAGACGACTTGCAGCAGCGGCAGTTGCAGCGTCTGGTGCCACTCAACTTGATGCCTTGCATGAGTCAACGCATCCACCTGCAGAACTTCAAGGGCCCCAGTGGGAATACCCAAGAAGAGGAGGAATGTGAACAGTGGGCGCGGACCCTGCACCAAGTGCTGCTCAGACAAATTACCGCCAGAGGCAACCCTACCCAAGATTAGGCACCTAACCAACGCAGCAGTGGACTTTTGCCCAGCTAATTGGCAACGCCGTTATAAAATATCCCAAGGCAGACACTTCCTGAGACAAGCTACTATGTGCTGGACGGTAGTCCTAGTAACTTCAGTGAGCAGAGTAGCGCATACGAAGTTTTCAGCTCCGTTGGAGCATTTGGAGGGGAACAAGGTCCCACGAAGGAGTTGCGGAGCAGAACAGAATTCAGCTCTGCTGTGTTAGCGGTATCCTACCGCGCATGCAGTTGCTCCACGATTGAGTGAGACAGACTGCAGGGCAAATAGGCATTGCGCCCTCCGCAATGCAGGAGCAGTAATACCAGCAACAGCAGCAGCGGCAGCAACAGCAACAACAAAAAGCAGCCAATACAAGCAGCCCCATTTAAGTTTGCTAGGCGTGGTGCAGGCCTTTGAAGCAAAATGCCAAAAGCAGTTCCAGGTTCAGCCTGTGGCTATTGGGGGAGACAGCACATGCTACTCTTCAATGGTGGTGTTGTCTAGGGCTACTCTGGGCAGCCAGACCCTTTACTAGAGGCGGTGATTCTTAGACCCTACCATTTCTAATACAGCTTAGGGTGTATTCTGTAGGGATGTTGCTAGCCTCCATGCATTCACTGTAGATGTCACGCACAACGTTTCAGCTTCACCTTTTCACAAGTCAGCAAAAATAGAACCGTGTCGCATGTAGGGATGATGAGCTTCATCTTAAAGTGATTTGTGACTTTCCGACTTGAAGATTGCGGTTAAATTTGATGGGGCCTTTTCGAAACAAATGCATTTTTTCGTTTGCCGTTTAGCTCGTTCTGCACCTTTCGTCGGGCGGTTCCAAAGCAACCACTTCCAGAGGCTCATGGGCCAGCGCGCTTGTTTGCAATCGCGCTGTGGCTGATCAACGAACTGCAACTAACAGCTCTTTTTAAATCAGTGAATGATGAGAAAAAGTAGACAGCATCACGTTCCGAAGTGTAGTGAAGATCGCATGACCGCATGACGTCCGATGGAGAGGCGATACGTAGAACATCGGAAAGAATACATGCACGGCATACCAACCAGAAGCGAGCATTAGATTATGTTGAAAAAGAAAAAAAGGAAAGTGACTGTAACGATACTTTGCCGCTATTGCTGTGCAATTTGCGTGTCAGTCAGCGCAGTTGCATGCTCATCAGCATCGGACGCAGTTGTTCAAGCGCCACTTTAAGAAAGCCGGCTAACTCGCTATCCTCCCTGGGCCCAACGCGCCTCAGCTCCACAAAAGGCTGTGCTCGGCACTGGCTAACGACACTTCCCCTTAAAAGGGAATTAGTGGTTTAGGATTCAGGGACAACGGTTTCAAGGTCTAGTGGACTCTTTCAGGCCTCCGTACTACACCTCAAAGAATTCATTTCTCTGCCGTCGGGCCTCCCGCAGCCGCATTAAAGCCTTCAGGGGCCCTTCAATGATCTGGAGAAAATGGCACAGCAACAGACACTCACTTCCACTTCTGGTAGGTGTCATGAGCCTCACCAATGCTGTGATAAAATACTACGGGGGGTGTCTCTGGTGGCACTTTGGAAGTGTATGCGTGCATTAACGCCTCAGTACGAATACTACTCGATTTGAAGTTCAACACAATTATGGGTCCACTCTATGTCTGTAAATGAGCAGAAAAATATTTATACAATTCGCTTGTATGAGCCCATATGCATCATAAATCTCGGGTACCCTGGGGTCTTTTTGCCTTTCTTCTTCCCACTTCATATTGGGTATGGAGGAGGCCCGAGTGGCAGCTGCGTATTTCTGAAGTTCCAGAAAACAAGAGATGCATGAAAAAACCAAGCTACTTTGATATTCCTTGCAATTTAGATGCGTGGAAGATACACAGTACTACCGGGCGCGGTATATTATATAGATATTGGTGTGCAAGTAGAATCAAGTTGTGTAACTGAAACCCTCGTAGCATGCTAGTAATTATTCTTCGTGGTGTTTCGACGCTGCATTGCCTTACAGCACGTGCTCGACCCTACGGAGCCCTTGTTATGGTGCTTTCTACTCCATCTATACATATAATATATATATATATATCATTCCACCTAATCATGCCTATCAGTAGATATTATTTATATACCTATATATTGAAGAAAGTACATATATATGCATTGCCTTTTCACTCGCCCTTCCCCTTTGGGAAGCGGCCTTCTATTTTGGCTTGCTCTGCGGTATTCAATTACAGAACCTAAACCATAATATTAGATTGTATCGAAATCCTACAGATAAAACCATCAACACCTACCTGCAGCCGTTCAACCGTGCGGCGCCTAAAGGCTGCAACTTCGGCTGCAATTCTCTCCTGCAGCAGTCGGCATAAAGTCAGAGGAGAGCGGGGCCACTCAGGAGACCCTCGGCGCAGTTGCACAGCGCATGCAAGAACATGAAAGCGCATACAACTGGCCGATGCGGTAGTGAGACCAGTCTATGGTGCACACAGATACGGTAAGAGCAAAGGGGGTGCAGCCCCCTCCACAGCACGCGGAAGCGCGCATCAGGGAAACACGCAACATGGAGGCCGAATTCAAAATTAAGCACCACTGTGACACCTGCTTCAGCCCACTGACTAAGTGGAATTGATATTTATCACTGCATGCTCTGCATATTGCACGCATGCAATATGCAGAGCAGGCATCCCGAAATATAAAGTTCTGAGTGCCAGTAAAACGCAGGTATGCATGCGTATACCCATAAAGGTATATACAGATACACTATACGTATATATATATATGTACGCTCAATATATATATATATATATATATATAATATGCTCCCTTGCCTTGGCATCCCTGGACTGTCTAACACTCTCCTCCGCATGCATTCTTATCTTGTCCTTTATCTCTTGCTGCTGCTGCAGCAGCCGCTGCTGAAGGGCCTTGCGATGCCTCGCGCAGTACTGCCTCTGCGCTTCCGCTTGCCGCAGCATTTGCTGCTGCAGTAGCTCCTGCTGTTGCTTCTCTTCTTCTTGTTTGAGAGCAATTTCTCTGATCCGCTGCAGCGTGCGCTGCCTTAACTGCTTACAGAGGGCTTGGCTGCGCTGTTGCTGCTGTTCCTGCTCTACCTGCTGCTGCAGAAACTGTTGCTGCTGCCTCTCCCGCGCCTCTCTAGCCCTTTGTCGCACTCTCTTCAGTGCCTCCTGTCTCAGGACTTTGGTTTTTGCTGCGTCCCCTGGCACCAACATATCACCGTCGAACTTCCAGTTGCCTTCTGTCGCAAGGCAATTGCTGCTGCTGCTGCTGCTGCGTGCTGCAGCAGCAACAGCTCTTGCTCTTTCCCGGGCCCTGCGCCAGCTGAATGGTGCTGCCGTCCCGGTGTTGCAGCTGCGGTGCTGCAGGCGCATCATCAAGGACTCTATTTCTGGTGGAAGGGTGCCTTGACAAGGCGAACTGTCTGCCTGCTGCTCGCAGCTAGCCACCGCTTCCGCTCTCCTGTTTCTCCCCTTAACAAGGGGAAAGCCCATGGAGTCGCTGCTGCGGGTCCTCCTCTGCGCGGTCAGCACATCGCTGCCAAAGCGGGTGACAGTGGGAAGCGTGCTGCTCTGTGTGTATCTGGGGGGAGCTGTTGCCTCGTCCATGTGGCTATTCGCTGTATCTAGAAGGCCAATGACTGCATCAAGCCCCTGAGTCTCTTTAGAGAGAACTCCAGGTGCAGCAGCCGGCGAGCACGGTCCCAGAGCACCTCTTGACCTGTCCGCCCAGCACATGGAGCCCCCATTTTTACGGGAGGCAGCAGGTGATGAGCCCCTCGCGAAAGGCGCACATTTACTAGTTTCAGCCTCTCTGCTTCTGCTGAAAGTTTGGGAAAAGGGTTGCAGTAGTCCTGAGGCACCCTGGCGTGGCAGTGCTGCAGCAGCAGCGACGGAAGGCTCGCGTGCGAATGCTTCTACTGCATGCAGAGCATCGTTAGTGGGAGCGACTTTTTCTGGTGTCTGCGGTTGCGGGGGGGATTCCAGAGGCAAGAGCTGAGCCTTAAGATCCTCATATCTGTGAAAAAGGTGAACAGCCTCAGGTGGGGGGGCCAGGTCCGGCCAGGGCCCCATCACGCCCGCTCCGCTGCTCATAGTAGCAAACAGGCTTAGGGGGCGTTACCCGATGAGAGCTGCAGCGGAAGACTCATGGGTAGAGAGAAACAGAGACACTCAGGGGTTGCGGGGGGAGCTCGTCAAGGGCTGGCGGCGTCGCTAGTTTGCTGGGTACAGATGCGCAAGCAGGGGGGAGTTTAGATAAAGAAATGACCCAACGTAGATGGGCTAAACAATACTCAAAAGATCTGGAACTCCGTAGCTCTGAGCAAAAGTAAAGAAGAATGAAGAAGGCAATGTTCTCAGGAGGCGTTTCAGGGTCGGGTTAGGCAGGGTCACTTGCCTGCTGAGGGGGGCCTCAGCCTGCGGGGGATAGGCGCCGCGGTGTATAAAATAGCATTAACCACACTTAAAAACTGGTTTATTCCTTTTGGAAAATTGCGTAAAATTAAAGGTATGTAAGGAAAAAGGCGTCCAGAGAAATGCTTATTTTCAACCCAGGTGTTCCTCCTGGGGCCCGCAGACACCTGGTGACCCGCAGCAGCTGCGCTGCTCCCCGTGGCGTCGCGCCTCGGCGACGTTATCCCTGCCAACAAAACCTTTAATTTGCCGTTTATTATTTTAACTCTAAAAGAACGAACGGCAAACGGGGAAAAACGAGGGAAGCTGTAGAAAGAGAGGCGAGGGGTAGCGACACGAGACTGTAGTCTCCTTGTTGCCCCTGTGCAGTGTCTCTCCCCCAGCTGAAAAACTCAAGCAACTAAACGTAATGATATTTTGACAGACATCTTTGTATATCTTTCAGAGGCAGCATCTCAGGGGCTTTGCAGTCAACAGGAGACAAGGGGGAGACGGCAGACGGGCGCCTTGCTCCCCTGCTGCAGATCACTGCGAACCCGTAGCTGTTTACCACCCTAAAACCTAAATCACCATGGAGGCGTCTGCGTTGGAGGAGGGCATGCGGCATCTCAGCGGAGTTGGGAACAGCTTGAATGCCTATGAGATAACCTCTCTTCAGCTGGCCCTACTGACTTTACAAAAAAAAACGAAAGCTGACAAAGCTTATTTTTGGGGACGCATAAGAGGACAGAACGATGACTACTACATAGCCTTTGTACTAGAAGAAAGCGAATACATCTACCCAAGGAAGAAAATGTACTTCAGGTAACACCCAACGGATGCTTGCGGCTATGAAAGGCAACTTGCATGTTCATCTCATTGGAATAGGCAAGAAAAAGCAAGATACATTTGAACGTCTATTTATAATTAATATGCTTCAAATACTGTTAGAAAACACTTTAAGGGCCCAGGGGCATTCCATTAACGAGATCGTCGAAATGGAAATTCAGATTGGAGCTTTTTTCTAGCAGTCACCCACTCTTAGCCCAAGGCCGGAAGTTAATCCAGTTGCATGTAGCTAGCACAGTGAAATGCAGCAACTGCCGTAGCATTCATTTCATTGATCAGAAAAAAGGGTTGCCCGGGCGTTTACTGCAGCCTAAGTTTAAGTGCGTCGACGCGCAACATGAAGTGCAGCAACTAGTGCAGTATTGTTATGACAACGGGGAAAGCACTTAAGCAAAAGGTTTAGGCGCGGCATTCAAATGAACTACTGAGGGCAGTATTCAGCAATGCACTTGCGGCAGGGTTGTTGGCTGCAGCAGGCAGAGCCACCTGCTGCAGCAACAGACAACGCCACCAACTGCAGCAAATGCAGCATGCGCTACGCAATTGGCCTCAGTGACAACTTGGGTGTAAAGAAAACACCACTCCCTGCTGGAGTGCACTCAACCGCAATTCAGTTGGTCGGTGCAATGGAAGCTGCAGGGATTCCAAAAGTGTCTCCAGCGGTTGCTGCTGCTGCGGCTGCAGGACAAGCCAATTAGACTTTCGGCCGCTGCCGGAGGGGGAGGTGAACGGGAGCAGAGAGAGGCCTGACTCGATCTTATTGACTGGGGACCCCTCCAGAGTCATTCAATCTCCGGGTACGTCTCTGAAAGGGTTGAAGGTTGAGGGTTTAGGCATGGGGGTAAGAGTTTAGCAGTTTGGGTTGGCTGTTTTGGTGAAGGTGCAACACGTGCTCCTGCGGCATCGGCTATGAACACAACGGCGTATTTTTTGCGCATTTTCAGAGGATCTAGCTGCCACAGCGGCAGATGCACAGAGTGACGAGGAGGACGGAGGAGGCAAGCGGCGCAACACTAGTTAACAAGTCCATGAAAATATGTGACTCCATGGTTGCATAGAAAGGATTTAGGGTCTAAGAAGCTGCCTAAGCTTCACGCTATAGTTTAGGGTTTAGGGTTTAGGGAATGAGACTAGGTGCTCTTCTGCACTGTCTTACAGAAGCGGATACAGTTTTCCAGCTGCAGTGGCTATACACGCTTACTTGCTAACAGTTGGCAGCGGAGTCTGGTGTACTGACGGTATAGGGTTTAGAATTTAGGCGTAGGCATTGGGGTTCTTTTACTTGCTGTGGTTCCATAAGCGCTGACAGCGGACATCAGTGTACAGACAACAGTGTTGTATGAGGGCTTTAACGCATGGTTTAGGCTAGGGTTGGAGGCCTAGATTTAAGCGTTTAGGGCGCAGGTTTTAGTGTTTAGGCAACATAGCTGTACTACCTAGTAACAGAAGAGCGTACCGGCGGATTGATGAGGCTTACGGCTGTAGGCACTGCATGTCTTTATACTGACAACGGAAGGACCAAAGAAAAAAGAGGGTTTGGGATTTATGGTTTAGCGTGTATGCATTGCACGCCGGCATACTGACATCAAGAAGGAAGAGGCTCTAGGCCCTACGATTCAGGGTATATGCATTGCATGGCTGTATGTTCACATCAGAAGGAGCAAATCGACAAGAAGCTTGAGGGTACATTGACAACGGAGGGAACAGAGAAGAGAGAGGGTTTAGGGTGTATTCAATGCATGCCTGCCTATTGATAAGAGCAACAACAAAGAATAGCGAGGGTCTAGGAGTTAGAGCGTAGCTGCATAATGAGAATAGAACGAAAGAAGAAGAAACAAGACCTAGGGCTTATGGATTAGGGTGTAGACACTGCATGCTTGTATACTGGCATCAGAAGGAACAAAGAGTGAACGGGTATAGGGTGTGCTGCCAACAGATGGAACAAAGACAACACATGGTGTTGGGTTTAGGGTACATTCTTTGCATGTGTGGTGGCTGAGATCAGAAGGAACAAAGAAGAACGTGCTGACTGAAGCAGATCTGCTTGCTGGCTTAGTGCAGCGCATCGACTTCGCTACTGCAGCGGTGCCCCGAGGCGCGCACCGTCTACACGGCACTAAGATAATACCAGCAACTGAATTTCAGGGTGAGATGATAATAGGGTTTTGAATTAGGGCTTAGAGATAAGGGTTTGGATGACACAGAAGCAAACTGCATGCAGAACCTGCTGCCACTGAATGGACACGATGCAATCAACTCGTTGCTAGCCACTTTCAGATATCCGGGGTGGATGCACGCTGCACGCTGCAAGCTGCAACGCTCAACAGCAGGCACCAACATGCAGCAGTGGACAGCAACAGGCAATATCGAGGGACAGCAGGCAGCAGCAGACAGCAACTGCTAAGTTTGTTGTGGTAAAGCAGTAGCCTTATAGCTCACTGGCCCTTTGAAGTGCTGCTCCTGCTACCATCGCCTTCAGCAGAAAGATACGCCCAGGAAGTGCATTTTGCCTCCTTAGACTATGCAGCTGTAGGCGATTCTTTCTTATTAAATGATGCAACTAGTATTTTATAAAAGTGTATAGGTTAGTCTATACACTACATATTGTAGTGGACTTTTAAGTTGCATTCTGTTGTCGAACTGAAACTGCATGCTTCCGGCGTCATCACGATGAATTGCAGTGCGTGCTTATGCGCCTAGCGCTGTATTTGTTATGCATATTGCGCCTACGTATGTAGTGTTGTATTTTTTAAGTTCATGAAGTCGATGTTGGCGAAAAACTCTAACTTTGCTTCAGCTTGCGGAGAAATTTGTAATTCATTGCTCAGGGCTCAGCTACGAGGAGGCAAGGGATTTGTCCTGTTGGGTTCACTTCAGGCCGGCAGAGGACTGTGAGTTGCAAACAACTCCAAACCTTTAACCAGAAACCATAAACGCACCACCAGATAAGAAGCACCCTTAGAGCCCTCAGTCATGAGCCCTGGTCCTGGAAGCGCATACAAAAAAGCTAGCAGTCTTTAGATAAACCCAAACCCCCAAATCCAAAGCAATCTTTCAACGGAATCCACCAAACCAGATATATTTATGTCCCGTCCTATTCAAGGAGGGTTTAGTTCTCATATATATATATATATATATATATATATATATATATATTGCATCTGCTGGGGTTTATGCTGCCGCAGTGGAGGCCCTGCGAGCGCAAACATCCAAAGACTATCAGGTTCATTCGCCATCCGAACCCTGAAGCCCAAGACACTAAACCGTAGCTTCTAAAGCAGCAGTCGTAGTGCCTAGCCTGATTATTATTAGCAGCAGCAGGGGAGGGTAAAAGCGACAGGGAAAGGAAACAAATTTGAATCGTGTTGTCGTTTGCGTCTCTTTGCTGTCAGTTCAACGTTGACTTCCTGGAGCCGCTGCACTACGACGTGCCAAGGGGTTAGAGACACCGACGCACATTATTTATGCAAAACTATACCCTATTTCTCCATCGTTCGCTTTATTTACACTATAGATAAATTGCGTTTTTTGTTTGATGAAGCTATGCAATTACTCTTCTTATGCTGCACTGATAGGCTGGTACTGTTTATGCCTTTATTGTGCGTTGATAAGTTGATGCAATTTCTTCTCTTGCTATGCACCAATAAGATGGTGCTGTTTCCCCCTCTATTATGCAATAATGAGCTAATGCACGTTCTGGTTGCTTCCTTTATTAGCACTAATAAGCTGATGCCGTTCATTGTTTTATTAAGTACTGCAATGTTGATGCAGCTACCTCATAGTTATTATGGACTAACAGGTTGGTGCTGTTTCTTCTTTTAGTGCGTATTATTGAATTGCGTAGACTTATTGCAGGTGAACTGCATGCATGCATGTATCCGTAGTAATCGATGTGTCCCGCTCTCTTTTTTTACATATATATAAAAGAAGAGAACGGGGCAAATCGATTAATACGGATACTTGCATACATTATATATATATATATATATATATATATATATATATATAGGGTTTTAAACGCACTCTTGCAGGCTCGTGGGTTACGCGTTATGACCCGGTAACGAATTGCGTGACGCTGAGAAGTCTCATGTGGCCAGGCAAGTGCAGCACTCGGGATGGGCCCCAGTTTACATGCACATGCGCATGCATCCATGTAGTGATCGTGCTTCTCTGCTTGCGTCTGTCTTGAACCCTCAGGCTATGTTGCATTTACCATTGTCGATTCGCCTATCTTCGGTGGCCTCTACTTCGGAGGTGGAGAGGAGACAGTGGATTTGCCTTTTTTACTGTAACGCGCCTCTCTACCTCTCATTTCATATTCCTGGAGTTATTGTTGCTGTATTACTATCACCATGAAATACTAATAGTAATAATCATTATGAAAATAATAGTAGTGTGTAGTATAGCATTCTTCATGATACACTCCTACTCAATGGTTGCTACTTTTTAGCCCAACTCCAACAGCGGCGACGCAGATACACTTCACATAGACCGACCGTAACGCTTAGGTTCTCAAACCCTAAACCCTAAACCCTAAACTCTAGATTCCGATTCTTGCTTCCCAAAAAAGTGTTTTCGGTATATGGCGCTAGGAAGCTCTCGCCTGAACTGGCGTTCGATTTTAATAAAGTTTTGACTACGTTATACTTTACTTTGCGCGTCTGAGGCTGAGATGAACCCTAAACCCTAAACCCTAAACCCTAAGCCCTAAACCCTAACCCCAAAACCTGTAGCTGAGCACTGCTTCATTTAAGGCAAACCCAGAATATTCCACAGAACCATTCGGTAGCACTTTCACCTTCTGCACAGGCTGATTATGAAGGGTAAGAAAATGCTTCTGTTGCGTTATATTATTCTCTGCTGCATTATATTATTAGGGAAGGTTCAGCAGACTTGCGTGCATGCACATCCTGCATTGTATTTGCTGTCTTTATACTTATTCATTTGTGCTGTGGGTTGTTGGCAGCGAGCTGCAACTCTGTGCAGTTATCTCGTACGCCTCCAAACCCTCAAACTTTGAAACCCCAGTCCCAAACCCTAAACCCTCATGGAGCCAAAAGCACGCCTCAACACGCCGTAGAATACTGAGTACAGGGAGAACCGCTGCTGCTGTAAGCTGCAGAAAAGAAGCTTCGTTAGCGTTAACGCTAGAGTTCAGGGTGAAGACAAGAACAACAAAACACACAAATATTCAAAAAATAGGCAGTAACACGCGTTTCAGCTTATGTGGGCAACAAACAAATATGCGTTTATACAGGTTAAAATATATTCTTGCATATCTAGGAATGCACCTTATGCTTGCCATTGTACCGCATATGCTTGCGGTTCTACTGCGCTTTTTGCATATATATATATATATATATATATATATATATATATAGGTACATGCTGAGGTACAGATGCATATGTGCATATTCATAACTACTTATATATTTATTGAGATTAACAAAGTGGTTTGGACTTGTAATAGGTCCTCAGTTGTTGCAAGGTCGCGCCGCAGAGGAAGGCAAACTCTGAGATCTACGGGCAGAGGAGTTCGTTAGCTGAACACCGCAGCACAGAGACATACAATTAACCCTAATCCCTAATTCCTAAAGCCATCAAGAAGGAAAGCTCCTAAAACGCCATGGAGGCGCATTGTTGCACACCGCAATGTTGAGGGTTTAGTGGACGATGTTTGCATGCTCTTGATTTGCTGCTGAGCAGCAGCAGCAGCAGCAGCAGAAGTGATAACAACAACTACAGCAACAGCTGGCAGTGCAGTGGTGGAGCGCGTCAGCAACAACCATACATACAAACAAAGACAAATCTGAATACGTTTTTACGACAGGTTCACCTATCAGTTGCACAGATCCGAATAAACACAGATTTGTGGATGTATATATATATATATATATATACATATGTCTCTGTATATATATATATATCTGTACAAAAATGTATATATGTATAAATATACACATCTATATACATTTGTATATACATATGTATATGTAAATGTGCACACACACACACATATATATATATATATACATGTGTACGTATATAGATATATATACATATATTTATGTATACATATATATATATATATATATATATGGACATTCACACTCACTCATAATTACATATATATATATATATATATATACTGTTACTTGACCGTTGCAACGATGTAAATAAACGTATATATGTAGATGTCCATATGCAGAGCTTTACCTGGAGACTGAACTAAAGAAGGCACGGGTATTGAGATAGTTGTTCCAGGGGAGAGCATGCACTGAACAATTGCTAAAAAGAGAGTGGACCCGGAGTTGGCCATTGCTTTGTCCAGAGCTGCAAGCCCAAATAAATATAAAAGTGAACACATGATAAATAGAAGAAACGCAGAAATATGAAAGTATAAGGCAAAGACAGTTATAACGCACAGCCAACGCTACTCATGTACTCATCCCTGCATGCACTACAAAGAAGAACAAATATGTACTGCACATTTACTTCCAAGGCATGCAGCATGCATGCATTGTGCTCTTCAGCACAAGCGCACTGAACCTGCCCTTGATTTTACTGCGTCGTGCTGCAGCAGAGCCTGTTGCTGCAGCACTGGGGAGAGCGCCGCAGCACGGAAGCAAAGCGCTGCAGCAAGTAAGCGAAGGACTGCAGCTGGAGCAGCAGCAGCAGCAGCCTTACCGGAGCACCGGTTCGCTGAACAGCCGCAGAAGCAAACCCACAACTCAGCGCAGCATGGCTCACCTTTTGCTGCTTCGTCTGCTGCAACGGTGGGGCTGAGAAGAGCAGAGAACTTCCAAAGACCCAATGTGTTGCCCACGAACGAGAGATGTTCAGGCGCTGCCGTGTGCAGCACCTGAGGCAGAAAGAAAAAAACAAGTGACTAAATGAAAACAAAGACAGAAAAAAAACAAATACACACAAACTAACCCGACCCTCTCTCCTCCCATGGAAAAGAAACTTTCAAAACACTAAACCCTCAGCCCTAAACCCTAAACGCGAAGAACCGAATCAAGAGGTTGCAGGAGTAGCTCAAGAGGCTAAAACCAAAACCCTAAACACTCAGCTGCCGCATGCATGCAGCGGTACTACAGCTCTTCAGACGCTGTAGAAGACACCCGCAGCAGCAGCCCCAGCAGCATGAACAACAACGACAATAAGAACAACCGCAGCAGCAGCAGCAACACTCTGCTGCTTCTGGAGTTGCCACCGCCTTTATGCCTCCACCGTTGATGTTGTTGTTGGTGTTATTGCTGCTGGAGCCAGTTGCTGCTGCTGCTGCAAGCAGCAAGAGAGTGGACTGCTGCTCACCTCCTGCATAGCAGATAGAACTGCAGTGCTGCAAATTTGCAGTCGGCTGTCCATCTCAGATTGGCTGCCCAGGTTGACGCCTGCGGGGAGACTAAAGGAGTAAATTTCTGCATTGGTCCACAGGACAAAACAAGCAAAGCAGCAAAATGTTCTTCGATACCCCTTCTGCCTTCCTCGCTGCCGTGCACAATCAGGCATCCATGCATTTGCATGTATGCATGGGGATGCGTGCAGGCATGTACGCATGCACGCACGCATGTATTCCTCAGCCACAATTGAGGAATCAGCTATTCTTTCAAATGCACGCAACAGTAGCAGCAACAGCAAGAGCAGCAGCACAAATAGTAGCAGCGAGATGCGTCTCACTTGACTGAGCCGTGCATTTCCTTTCTTCTTTTAGCGGAGGACAGGCGGATGGACCCGAGACATCTTCAGCGTTCTGTACAAATGCCAAATGCAGTGATTTTTGCTGTTTCTACTGCTGCTGCTTCTGCTGTCCTTGCTTCTGCTGCTGCTGTTGCTTCTGCTGCCGCTGACTTCAAAGCGAAGGCAGAGGTTGCAACAGCGCACAGTAGGTGCTACCCAGACAGCAACAAGAAATGCGCGATGGCAGTCGTCGGGTCTTTGCTGGTGCTGCTATTGCCGCAGCAGCAGCAGCAACTGCTGCTACAGCATCCCTACGTGCTGCAGCCACTACCTTTTGTGCTGCTGCCGCAGCCACTGATGCTGCTGCTGCAGCAGGCAAGGCAGCAGCAGAAAGGCAGCTGCAGCACCACAAGAGCCTGCCTGCTGCGGCAGCAGCAGCAGCCGTTGCTTGCTGCTAACTTACTACTATGGTGCGCGTTCTCTCGGACTTGAGGGATGTGCAGCTGCTGTCGCATACCGTCCACTCTGTCCATTCCGACACCTTGCAGTCGCAGGCTGCGGAGGACAACCAAAACCCTAAACCCTAAACCCTAAACCATAAAACCTAGACCCTAAACCCGAAACCCTATACTCGTAACTCTAGACCCTCAAAACTGAACCCTTAACCCCTATGTTCGTGACGGACTGAGACACCAGCAACCGCTATGCCCTGAAGCCTAAAAGCAAACCCTAAACCCTAAACCCTGAACCCAAAACCCTATATCCAAAACCCTAAACCCTGGACGCTAAACGGTAGATCCAAAATCCTATGCCCTGAATCTCAAACCCTAAATCTCAAACCCTAAACAATTAACTCACTCTTAGGCGCGTCAGCGCCCAAAAGCAGGCACATGTCCACAGGCATTGTCAGTGTTTCCGCTGCAACACACAGCGCACGAACCCCTAAGCTCTAAACCCTAAACCCTAGATCCTTCGTTCTTCCTTCTAGGGAAGCAGGCGAAGTACGTCCAACTCCGGAATCAAAACCCTCAACGCTTGACTTTCCATGGCCGAGCGTGACCAACCCCTAAAGCCTAAACCCTAGGAAGTGAAGTGACAGCTTGACGCACGCGTTGCTTTGTAGGACTGAAGCCGGAAGGGGGTTTCTGGAGTCAACCCCGGGAGAATGTCGTTCAGAACTTCAAACGCTGCACCGGAAGGCTCTCGCAGACTCTCCGCGAGCACTGCAGCAGGAAAAAATGAGGGTTTAGGGTTAAGGGATTAGGCTGAGGGGAATGGCACTGCTCTTGAGAGTTATAAACCGAAAACCTTCATAAGGAGAGTACAACTGAGGAAAACTGCTCTCTTGTTTCTTCTTTTATTATTCATTATGTAGAGCCAAGTGACGGCATTTAGAGATTTTAGGGAGAAGGATGCAGCGTGGTGTATATACACCGGACACAAAACCCTAAATACTTGCAACGCCACCAACTAATCGTAAGTAGAAGTACGTCAGCTTAACTTCTCTCTCTGTCTATCCAAGGCTGTTTGCGCGTTCTCTCCGTGCTCATCTTCACAAGGGATGGGTACTGCTTTTGTTTAGGCACCAAGATACACACTCGCGTATATACACGTAAATACACATGCCCAAATATATATATATATATATATATATATATATATATACCTGTACATTTATATGCCTATACATATACATATACATATGCATATATGTATATATACATATATATGCGTATATAAATGTGTGATTGCGCCTACATATATGCGTGCATGGACGCATTCACACAGTGCTGTCTGGTATGAGCTGCATTCACCGTTACCGGCGCCGCCACAGCTACGGCTGCTGCTGCAGCTGCTGCGGCAGGTGCAGCAGCAGCAACTGCAGCTCCTGCTGCTGCTGTTGGTACTTACCATCGAGCCATCTCTGGGGGTCCCTGCCTACGTCTGCGTCTTCGCCTTTGCTGCTGCTGTCAACCAACACCACAAATTGCAGCCGCCAGTACTTCGTTCCCGTTAATGAGTCCGCGCTCAGCGAAGAAAGGGTTATGCGCCACTCCCGCAAACCCAATGCCTGCAGCAAACAACCTCCCTAAACCCTAAACCCTAACCCCTAAACCATAAACCATAAACCCTAAAACCCTAAACCATAAACCCTAAACTAGAAACCCGAAACCGTAAACCATAAGCTCTAAATTAGAAATCCGAAACCCTGCAGAATCAATCCCTTGGCCTCCAAACCCTAATGCATGAACCCTTAACCCGAAACTCTAGACCCTGAACGAGAAACGATTTCCACTACCAAGTAGCACCACCAACCACTTCCAAACCCTAAACCCTAATCCCTAAACCCTAATCCTTAAACGGTCTACTACTAAACGGCAGAACTCGACTTCAAAAACTAAGTCTTTGCAGGCAAGAGCGTGTATCCTAAGCCCTAAACCCTAAACCCTTAAACAACTGGCGAAACTGTGACTCTGCAGACGAGTGCCCCTTTCCCCGTTCAGATTTTACAGGTTTCGGTTTAGTAGAGGTCTAGGGCTTAGGCTGCTGCTGCTGCTGCTGCTGCTACTGTTACTGGTGTGCTTGGAAGCCGCAAACCCTAGGGTGTAGGGTTTGGGGTTTGTGTTTATTTACCTGGGCGAGGAGTTGTCGGATGGTTGGGCTTCTGCTGATGAGTGCAGCTTCGCTTTTGCTGTTCGTTTGCACGGAGGCTTCTCGCGTTATAATGAACAGCATACATGCGCCGCTGCAGCTGCGTTTTTCTTTTATTTCCGGGCAGCTTAGAACTTCTCCTGGTGCCTCCTGACGACAAGAGGTCAGATAAAAGGAAGGTATATGAGGGTTAAGGGTTTTTGCTGCTGCAGGTGCATGCACGTGCATGCACCTGCACGCATCCATCCAGCCTCTACACCCTTACAGGGAGGTAATTAAGTTCGGAGTTGTACGCTGCAGCAAGCATAGGACTTTTCGAGGGTTTTTGGGTGTACCTAGGGTTTAGAGTTTATCTAAGGTTTAGGGTTTCCTTAGGGTTTAACGGATAATCTGGGGTTGTATTTGTATATTATGTATTATTAATTATTAATTATTAACTATTAATTATTAATAATTATACATTATTAAGACCGAATAGTCATTTATTACTAACACTTAATAACAAAATGATTATTTGTTTATAAGAACCGACAATAATTCCTCTGTATCATGCTTGCTGGCTGTGTGCTTGCTGCTTTAATAATAATAATACTTAAGGCGTAATACTTTCTACTTAATAATTGGTAATTACTTACTACTAATCATTAATAAAAACAATTTCACTAGTTGTTTATTAAAGACTAAAGATTATTTGTTAGTAAGAACTGACGGTAATTTCTCTGTATCTTGTTTGATGGCTGTCTCCGCACTCCACGGGGCAAATGGTCCACTCGGTCCATTGGCCCACTTTGCAAGGCGCTGCAGGAGGAGCTACATTTTCTTCTTTTGTTTGTGCTTGAAGGCATGCAAAGACTGTAAGGCAAGCAAAAGCAGCTGCAGCAACAAGAGCAAACGAACCCAACCATATAAGCAATTCTGCAGCACACAACACACACACATATACCACATACACAAATAGGGTTTTAGGGCTTAGGGTTTAGGGTTTGGGGCTTCGAAGTCTACAACAATGACGTTAGGGATTTGCACGCCTTTCTACTTCAAGATACAGGAAATGCAGCACGAGAGGCTACACCGACCCTATTCAACCCTAAACCCTAAACCATAAACCCTAAAATCTAAACCCTAACCATGAATTCCCTCAATCTCTGCAAGGAAAATCGGCAGCTCTCTCTCATTTCGCTAGACTTTTGGGATTTAGGGTTTAGGATTTAAGGTTTTAAGTTTTAGGTTTTAGGGTTTATGGGGTTTAATTTAATTACTTTTGTCTCTTCTTTTGTCTTCAAGAGCTTCCTCCGACAGTTCCTGTGGGGCTTGCGAGCTCTCATCAAGAGACTGCCCAGACGGAAGGCTGCTGCTGTCTCCTTTTTGAGCGCCCACTCCAAATGTGCTGTTGCTATTTCCTGCTGCTTCACCTAAACCAGCAGCAGCAGCAGCAGCAGCAGGAGCAGCAGCAGCAGGAACTTCGAGGGCTTGTTCAGGCAGAATTGAGCTCTTGCTCCGCATGCTGCGCCGCCTGAAGCCTTCTCCATTATCAATAGAAACAGCATAACTACTTCTTGCTGCTGTTTCTGCTGCTGCTGCTGCTGTTGCTGCTGCTGTTGCTGCTGCTGCTGACTCTTCTGCATCCGCGTCCATTACCTCTAAGACAACAGCATTTTCTCCTTCTGCTTCTGCTGCTGCTGCACCAACATCTTCTATATCTACGGCAGCGCCACTCCCCTCTAATGCTGCTGCTGCTGCACTATCATCTCCTGTTGTTGCTGCTGCTGCATCATCATCAGCTGCTGCTGCTGTATCATCATCGTCTGCTCCGGCTGCTGCAGCATCATCAGCTGCTGCTGCTGTTGCATCAGCTGCTGCAGCTTCTGTATCACCATCATCAGCTGCTGCTGCATCATATCCGTCTGCTGGTGCTGCTGCATCGTCATCATCATCTGCTGGTGCTGCTGCATCGTCATCATCATCTGCTGGTGCTGCTGCATCACCATCATCGTCTGCTGGTGCTGCTGCATCACCATCATCATCAACTGCTGCTGCTGCACCACCATCATCAGCTGCTGCTGCTTCATCATCAACTGCTGCTGCTGCGGCATCACCATCATCAGCTACTGCTGCTGTGGCTGCATCACCATCATCAGCTGCTGCTGCTGCTGCTGCACTACCATCATCAGTTGCTGCTGCTTCATCATCAACTGCTGCTGCTGCGGCATCACCATCATCAGCTACTACTACTGCTGCTGCTGCATCACCATCATCATCAGCTGCTGCTACTGCTGCTGCATTATCGTCTGCTGCTACAAGGATACGAGACCCTGGGGGGTCGGCGCTGCTGGATGCATCTTCTAGGGGACCCATTGTTTCTGTGCTGTTTTGCTGCTGCTGCGATCCTGCTGCAGCTAGCTGCAGTGCAGCAGCAGATGAATGCATCTCGCCAGGTGTCTCCTCACCCTTCTCAGATTCACCAGTATTGGCTGCTGCTGCGTCTCTCTCTGCAGCGCTGGGCTGCCGCTCTAGGAGGAGCTCCTCCGTGCTGCGATGAGCGACGGCTGCAGCAGTATCTGTCTCTCCTGCAGCAGCAGCAGCAGCAGCAGTTTCTTCAGTTGCTGCAGAAGTGTCTGCTGCTTCTGCTGCTGCTGCTGCAGGCTCTCCATCGTCGTCGCTTTTCCCGCTGCCGCGGGGAGAAGTAACTGGTGCATCTTCTGGTGCTGCTGCTGCTTCTGTTGTTGCTGCTGGTGCTTCTGTCGTTGCTGCTGCTGCTGCTGTTTCTGCTGTTACACTAACGGATGGGTCATTGCCGAGCCCCCCTTCTTCTTGAGGGGGCTCTTCCCCGTCTCTGTTAATCTCAGTCTCGCTGTTGCTTCTGTCTCTTGCTGCAGCATTGCTGTTGTTGTTGCTGCTGCTGCCAAGCCCACCAAGTGGAGGCTCATCCGCTTCGTGAAAACCATCCCCGTCGTTTTCTGTCTCTAGAGCTGCAGATACACCTGGATTGCCTTCATTGTCATTTCTATCTAGAGGTGCAGATACACCTGAAGTATCTTCTCTGGCTTCTGTCTCTAGAGCTGCAGATACACCTGAATTGTCTTCATTTGCAGTGCTGTCTAGCGGTGCAGGTACACCCGAAGTGTCTTCATTTACAGTGCTGTCTAGAGGTGCAGATACACCTGAAGTGTCTTCGTTGTGGGGTCCCTCTACTTCCCTCTGTGCGAACTCTGGGGGCGCTTCTCGCGCGTCTTCTTCTGAAGTACTCATTGTCTTTATATTTTTCTTCTTTTTTTCTTTTCCTTTCTTCTTCTTCCTCTTCTTATTGGGGTTATTCTATTTAATTGATTACTGCCTTCAGCAGAGACACTCTTTACTGACGCAAAACAAACTGCCAGAGGCCTTTCTGCCGCTGTCATTCAAAATGAAATATTTCATAGTTCATTTCAATCATTCAAAGGAGGGGCTATAAACACATCTTTTCAACATCTATATATATATATATATATTATATGTATAGGCACCTTATTGTGTATCAATGCATATCTATAGATGTGTATTCCTTTGCATATATATCCACTGTAGTACACTGCTAGGCTATATGTATGTATATATATTTTTGTGT